GAGATTTTTCGAGCTAAACAGCTTTAGGGCTTTCTCAATCTATCTCGCGCTCTCTCTCTCTCTCTCTCTCTCTCTCTTCTCCCCCCTTTCTCCTCCGCCCTCCCCCCAACAGAACCAAACACACACGCAGTTCCCCCCACCTCCCCCCCCCCCCCCGCCACCGTGGTGGGAGAACGAGGGAGAGAGAGGAGAGGGAGGGAGGGAGGGAGAGGGAGGGGGAGGGAGAGGGAGGGAGGAGGAACGGTAATGTCCAGAGAGGAATTCCATCACCATTTTAGGATGTTGTTTGCGTTTCATTGCTATCGAGCAGAGGATTGAGATATCCCACCTACAGCCCTCACCCCTCCACCAACTCCCTCCCCCCCTTCTCTCCCTCTCTCCCCCCTTCTCTCCCTCTCTCCCTTCTCTCCCTCTCTCCCTCTCTCCGCGATTACCCTCACGGCTTTGTCTCGAGATTTAAGATTTAAGTTCGGGCGGAAATTCTCCCAACTCGAGTCTTCATTTGGGCGCTGTTTCCCCCACTCCCTGCCCTTCTCTCTCTGCCAGTGCGCCCGCGCGTGTCCGTGTGCGCGAGCGCGTCTGTAAGTGTGTCTGGATGTGTGTGCGTGTGCGTGTGCGTGCGTGCGCGTGAGTGTGCGTGTGAGTGTGTGTCTGTGTGAGTGTGCGTCTGTGTGCGCGAGTGAGTGAGTTGTGTGTGTGTGTGTGAGTGTGCGAGTGAGTTGTGAGTGTATGAGTGAGTGAGTGAGTTGTGTCCGTGTGCGTATGTGTCTGTGCGCGTATGTGTCTGTGTGTGTGTGCGAGTGTGTCTATGCGTGTGTGAGCGTATGCGAGTGTGCGTGTGTGTCTGTTTGTGTGTGTGTGTGTGAGTGTCTGTGTGTGTGTGTGTGCGAGTGTGTCTATGTGTGTGTGAGTGTATGCGAGTGTGCGTGTGTGTCTGTTTGTGTGTGTGTGAGTGTCTGTGTGTGTGTGTGCGAGTGTGTCTATGTGTGTGTGAGTGTATGCGAGTGTGCGTGTGTGTCTGTTTGCGTGTGGGTGTGAGTGTGAGTGTTACGTGAGTGTGTGCAATTAGGGTTCGGGAGTCTCTGACACTAATAACAATAATAATGATGACCATAATCCTTGCATTTGATAAAGCATTGTATCACGTCGTCGAGACGTCTCAAAGCGCTTCACAGACTATGCTGCAAAGTGGAGTGACTGTGCATCTTTTGCCGGGCGAAACGCGGCAGCCAATTGCGCACGGCGGCGTCCCAAGAAAAGAGTGAGCGGGGAAACAAAGCGAGAGGCTGCGCTGCGGTATCGATCGCAGACCCAGTCCTTCGGATGAGCCGTTAAACCCCTCTCATTCCCCCATCTCTCCCGCGGCCCTTAGACAAATTTCCTCATTCCGCCAACGCCCAAACAGTAACAGCAACTCTTCTGGAGTTAAAGGAACGCCCGGATTTGCTGCCCAAGGAAGCTCGAGGTCCCATCCGGTTTGCCTTCCGCTGTCTCAACGCGTTTCACGGGATACACTGTAAAGGATGCACAAATATACAGTCACTACACTGCGCGGCGTATTTCCCCCCCCCCCCCCGTGAAGCGCTTTGAGGACGTCTCGAAGGCGTGGTAAGGCGCTGGATCAAATGCGAGGATTGTTAGTATTATTATTGTTACTACTACTATTAAGCAAATCAAACTGTGCATTTTGTGGGCGAAGTGTTGTGCACTGTTTTTAAACCTTTGTTAACCGCTGTACTCGCACCTCGCAATCCCCCGACACATCGATGAATTAAATAAATAGTAATTAACAGGGAGCCATTCAGAACGAAACGTTGGCCCAGAGCTGCGATGAATCATGACCAGGGTATTTTTAACGTCTGGGTGACTGGGGCCGATGAGCACAGGAAGTATATTTACTCGCTCCGGGAATTATTTTTAGACACCGAGATTTTCTTCAGTTCTTTTAACCATTTCCGAGTCCCCGTCGGGTAGCGGTCAGAGCCCTCGCCGCGCAAGCGAGAGGGCGCGGGTTTGATTCCCGGCGGGACGGGGACAGGGCGAAACCTTAGGCAAGTTTCCTTACCCCCCCCCCCATTCCCCCCTGTGCCCGCCCCCCAACACACACACACCCCTACGTTACCCGGCAGTAACTAGGATCCCGGTTGTTACATCGCTTGGCGGATCGCTCTTCCGGGGGTAATAATCCCTTTTTAAAATGAAAAGGACAACCGTTTGGTCGGTCACTTCCACCCACGGCTGTCTGTGGGGACGTCGCAATTGGCTGCCGCGTTTCGCCCGCGAAACATACAGTCACCGCGCCTTACGGTGCGTCCCGCGAAGCGCTTTGAGACGAGGATTATGAGGTGGGGACGTTGGAACGCGAGCGGCAGATTGAACGTTAACGGGCACAGAGCTGCTGATTATTATACACACCCTGGCACCTCCCTTCCTCTCCCCCCACCACCACAACCCACCCGAGCTGCCCCCCCCCCTCCACCATCTGCACCCCGCTTTCAGCCGCTGCGCCCCCAAAAACTCTCTCCCCGTAGCCCTGTCGAGAGTTTCTGGGACCCGACGGCGCTGTGTCGTTGTATATTTTAATTCTCCTTTTTCCCTCCGAACAGTTACGGGAAAATTGTCTCCACGAAGGCCATTCTCGACAAAACAACAAACAAATGCAAAGGTACGGATGTTATCTGGCGGTGGGGGAGTGGGGCGGGTTGGGGGGGGGGATTGGGGGGGTGGGGGGGGGGGGTGGGGTTGGGGGTTGGGGGGAGAGGAATTGTTGGCCAGGACAACAAGAGAGAAGAGAGAGAGATTGGGTTCGATTCCCAGCAGGGAGAAATGTGGGGCAAGTTACCTTACTCCCCACCCCCCCACAGCCCCCCGCACCCCCCACCCCACCCCCACACCCACGCACACGCACACACGGACACGCACACGCACTCACACACACACGTCTCTGTTTCCCAGCAGTCAGTAGGGACCCATCGCTTTTCCGGGGGGTTAATAAACCCATCGAAAATAAATAACTAAATCGGTCGCTTCAATCCGCGAGTGTTTTGGGGGGGACGCTGCTGCGCGCAATTTGGCTGTGGCGTTTCGCCCGCAAAACGAGACAGTCAATTCCCTCGACGGCGGGTCCCGCGAAGCGCTTCGAGACGTCTCGAAGACGCGATCGGGCGCCCGGGTCAAACGCCAGGTCCCGTTGCTGTGATTTTGGGGCTGAAAACGAGCTCTTGCTGCGTCAGTGGTAAGGGTTAAAACACAGGCCCCTGAGGTGCGGGGAGAGCGAGAGCGAGAGAGCGAGAGAGAGAGAGCGAGAGAGCGAGAGAGAGGCTGGAAGTGATTAATGATTGCTGCTGGTAAACTCCGGGTAAACATTCCAACCCTCCAAACCAGCCCCGTCGCCTGCGGATTGGGAGTTAGGAAGGGAGCGGGAAAAGAGGGCAGTGAATTCAGTGTCCTTCACTCCTACAGACGGACCATTTCGCTGGGGTTCGGGAACTTTGAGAGGTCACCGCGAACAGCCTCGGGCCAAGCGAGAGGACCCGGGTTCGATTCCCGGGCGGTTTAGGTCAGGGCGAAACGCGTGTGCGCGCACACGCACACACGCACACACACACGCCTGTGTTTACCAGCGGTCAGTAGGAACCCGATTGGTGGATCGCTTTTCCGGGGGTAATAACCCCTTCGAAATAACAATAATGCGGTCACTCAATCCACGGCTGTTTGTGCGGACGCCGCTGTGGGCGATCGGCTGCCGCGTTTCGCCCACAAAATATACAGTCACTCCACTTCACAGCGAAGCGCTTTGAGACGTCTCGAAGACGCGATGAGGTGCCGGGTCAGACGCGAGGAATGTATCATGTAACCCATCTGTTCAGGTGGACGTCAAAGCTCAGGAACCCACGGCCTGAAAGGTTGGTTTGGAAGCAGATTCGACAGTAACTTTCGGAAGGGATTTGGATAGAGGGTCGAAAAGGAGAGTGAGAGGGACTAGTCGGTGGCTCTTCCAAAGAGCAGGCCTAGACCCGATGGGTCGAATGGCCTCCTTCTGTGCCGTAAGGTTCTCTACTAGGCTCCGGGACTCCAAACTCAAGCTGCTGGTGGTGGTCGGAGCTGCTCAGGAGCTGCAGGTTCTGAGGACAACGCTTACCCCTCTTTTTATCTCCTTGCTCCCTGGCCTCATGCGGAACGGGGGCGTTCCGAACATCGTGAGCGAGGGCTGGAGCTCTCGGGAGGGTTGTGTAAGACAGCTGCGAGTGTCAGGGGGAAGAGCGGAGGAATTGCAGTGGAAAAATGTTCGGAAACTGGGAGACTGTTGAACCATATGGAGCTCTGCCTTCCTGCTGCGTAGAGCGCTTCCTGTTGGGATTGGCTTTGGCCCACTTGCTCCTCTCTCTGCCCGAAGTCCCACAGGAATGGCGGAGCGAGAGAGAGAGAGAGAGAGAGAGGGGGGGGGGTTGGGGGGGGAACCCTGTGCTGGTCAAATAAAACCCAGGGTTCAACCACCGGCCTTCAGCTCTCCTCGTGTCTCCCTCGACCCCATTGCACCCTCTTCCTTTTATCAGCAAAACCAAAATTAAATACAAACAGTCCCCTCTCTCTCTCTCTCTCCTTCGTATGATTATTACTACTTTCTCTTCTTCCTTCCCCGCCCCCCCCCCCCCCCCCCCCCCCCCCAACCCCAACCCCAACCCCACTCCCCCTCCATCAAGTACCAGCGTCTTTCAGGAACAAACTTACCGAGGCCGAGGATGGTGGTTGTCAAACTCCACCTCCCCGCCCCCCCCCCCCAAAAAAAATATTCTTTTCTAGAGAGATATCGATGCCATTTGAATCCAACCATTTATTTTTTTTTGCTCGTGTTTGTGTTTGTGTTTGTCCAGGCTACGGGTTTGTGGACTTTGATAGCCCAGGGGCGGCTCAGAAGGCGGTGTCAGCACTGAAGGCCAGTGGGGTCCAAGCACAGATGGCAAAGGTACCAACGCACTCACTCGCACTCCTCCCATTTTGGATCCAACATTGTCCTCCGTTCGACCTATTTCACTTGCTCCCTCTCTCGCCACCCTTCCACCCCACCCCCCCCGCCCCGCCCCCCACCGAAAAATGATCCCCCCCCCCTTTATTTTTGTTCCTCTCTTGAATTCCGGGACCCCCGTCCTTGTCGAAGTACAGTTCGGAAGAAAGAACCTGCATTCTTATAGCATCAAAGCGCACACCGCTGTCTCAAAGCTACACAGTGAGGTCTGTAGCTCAGGGGGTAGACCCCTCGCCTCGTAAGCCACAGTCCATGTAGCTCAGGGGTTAGACCCCTCACCTCGCACCCCACAGCCCCTGTAGCTCAGGGGGTAGACCCCTCACCCCGCAAGTGAGAGGATCCAGGTTCGATTCCTGGGCAAGTCTAACTTCCGCCTAAACAGGGCACAGATTGGGGGGTGGGGGGGGTGGTGAGGTTTAACGTCTCATCCGTCTCAATGCAGTGCTCCCCCCCCCCACCTCCCCCCCACCCCAGCGCTGCACTGGGCCATTAGCCTAGGCTGTGTAAGCTCAGAGTCCCCGAGTGAGGGCGGTGGGGGGGTTGGGGGTGGGTTGGATGGGGCTTGAACCCACAACCTTCAGCCCAATTTAGAGGCAAGAGAGAGAGAGAGAGAGAGAGCGCGTGAGCGACTGAGAGAGAACCAGACTGACAAGTCGTGTCTGCAACAATGGTATCAGCTGTTGACCTCAGACAGATATTTGGGGAGGACAAGTTTGCGGAGCTGTGGGGAGAGCGCGGGGGTTGGTGGTGGAGGGGGGGGGGGGGTGGGGAGGGGGACAGAGCGGGATTAATTTGGACGGTTCTTTCAAAGAGCCGACATGGACAAGCTGTGCCGAATGGCCTCCTTCTGCTCTGTATCATTCCCTTATTCCACGATAGATTTCGGTGTGTGATTGCTGCTGGGAGTGAACGAAAGGGGGGGAGAGAGAGAGAGAGGATGGGATGGTGGGGTTGGGGTGGGGGGAAACCGGGGTAGAGAGAGGAGGGGGAGAGAGAGAGAGAGAGAGGAGATGGGATGGGAGGGTGGAGAACAGGGAGAGAGAGAGACGGTAAGAGAGAGGAGAGAGAGGGAGAGAGAAGGAGAGAGAGGATGGGGTGGTGGTGGAGGAGGAGGGTGGGGAGCAGGGAGAGAAGGAGGAGGGGGAGGGAGCGAGACGTGTGTTGGGGGTCACGGACATGATGTAAGACAAAAGCAGCTGTTGTTTCTCATCTACTGGATGTGTGCGTGAGCCCCAGTCCGTGACACTGGTTAATTGTTCTGCCTTTGGTCGCTCGCCAATCGCTGGGGAAAAGGAGAGCAGATTTTCCCACCGGCTCCTCGTGCCCGAAGTGAGGTATCAATTGTTCCATTGTCCCCCCCCCCCCCCCCCCCCGCTCACTCCCCCCCCGTCTTCCCCCCGGGGGTTGTCCCTCAACTGGAAGGAATCCTCCCCTTCCTCCCCCTTCTCCTTTACTCCCCTCCACACACCCCCCCCAACCCCACCATCCTCCCCCCCCCCACACCCCTCGCCCTCGTCAAAGCCGAAGTTTTCCAGTCAGGGGCCTCACTGAAGGGTCAGTCGTCAGAATGGAGTCCCTGTAGCTCAGGGGTCAGAGGACCCGGGTTCGATTCCCCCGGGTGGGTCAGGTCGGGGCGAAACATGGGGCAAGTTTCCTTACCGCCGGTGGCGCAATCGGCTGCCGCGTTCCTCCCACAAAAAAACACACACAGTCACTACGCTTTGCAGGGTATCCCGGGGAGCGCTTCGAGACGTCTCGGCGACGCGATGGGGCGCCGGGTCGAACGCCAGGATTGCTTTTACTTTACGCCCCTGAATTGACGGCCGGTTTCCCACTTCTGTGTCTCACTGTTGCGCTCGAATTCCCTAACACTGGTTTCCCGGATTCCTGAAATCCGGGGACAGAGCTCTGCATTTCCAGGAACTAATGTACTGAGAGGGAGTGAACTGTGGGCTGTTCGCACACGGCCGTGTGTGAGGACCCACTGGGTCCTGTCTTTAGCTTATAATACAATCATAGAAGCCGATAGCACAGAAGGAGGCCATTCGGCCCCTCGGGTCTGAGCCGCTCTTCGAAAGAGCCACCAACTAACCCCCACTCCACTCCCCCCCCGCTCTTACCCCAACTAACCCCCCCACCACTCTTACCCCAACGAGCCCCACTCATTCCCCCCCCCGCTCTTACCCAACGAGCCCACTCATTCCCCCCCCCGCTCTTACCCCACGAGCCCCACTCTTCCCCCCCCCCCGCTCTTACCCCAACGAGCCCCACTCACTCCCCCGCTCTTACCCCTATCCAATTCCCTTTTGAGAGCTCCTATCGAATCTGCTTCCATCAGCCTTTCAGGCCCTGCGTTCCAGACAGTAACAACTCTCCGGGTAACAAAATAAATTCCTGGGGAACACAGGAACAGGAGGAGGCCATTCAGCCCCTCGAGCCAGTTCCGCCGTTCTATTAGATCCCGGCTGAGCTGTACCTCAACTCCAATGAGTTTACGACTTTTACGCCTTTTACGACCCGGTAATAATCCCTTCAAAACCTAAATAAATGTAAGAATAAATTAATAATTGGGTCACTTCAATCCACGGCTGTTTGTGGGGGACGTCGCTGGGCCCAATCGGCTGCCGCGTTTCGCCCATAAACACACAGTCACTTCACTCTACAGTGTGTCCCGTGAAGCGCTTTGAGAACGACTCGAAGACGTGATGAGGCGCTGTGTCAAAGGCGAGGATTATTATTATTATTATTAAAGTGAATCACGAGAGGTTGAGATTGTTCAGTTATAAACCTGTGACGGCTCGAAGCGCTTCAACGGGATACACTGCAAAGTGTAGTGACTGTGCGTTTTGTGGGCAAAGTGCAGCAAGTGAGTCAGTTGGAAGTTTGTGGGTTCGAGCCCCAAAGTCGGGACTTTGAGCTGACGGTCTGAACTGAGGCTCCAGCGCAGAGGGGCGGTGGGAGAGGGGGAAAGGGGGGAGGGTGTGGGGGTGAGGGGGGGGGGGGAGAGGGGTGGGCGAGCGTGGAGCCAGCCACTGTGTGCCCAGCGAGGGGAGCGTGAGTAACCCGGGGGGATTTGTTCTCTCTCCGTAGCAACAGGAACAAGACCCCACCAACCTGTACATCTCTAACCTGCCACTCAGCATGGACGAACAGGAGCTTCAGAACCTGCTGAAGCCCTTTGGGCAGGTCATCTCCACCAGGGTGCTGAGGGACGCCAGCGGGAGCAGCCGAGGGGTGGGCTTTGCCAGGTGAGCCGCCATCGCAAACCGCCCCCCCCCCACCGCCACCAAACTCCCCACCCCTCCTCCCGCCCTCATCGCTGGTCAGACCTCTCTGCCCCCACCCCAACCCTTTGGAATTCCATCCCACTGTCCCTTTGGCCTCGCTCCCTCCCTCCCTCCCTCCATCGCCTCCTTTCGAGACTCGTCTCAGGACCTTACCCTTCCACCAAAAGCGCCTTCGGTCACCCACTCTCCTAACCAGCCCCCCCCCACCCCCCACCCCCCCACCCCCACTCTCTCTTCGAACTCAAAGGTCTAACTATGCAACAACAACTTGCATTTATACAGCGCCAACGGTTCAAAAACAACAACAACAATAATAAATTGGTCACTGAAAGCCACGGCTATTTGTCGACCACGAAATACAGTCACTACATCGGACAGTGTGTTCTGCGAAGCGCTTCGAGACGTCTCGACGGCGTGATAAGGCGCTGTGTCAGTTATTATTATTATTATTATATGACCGCTCGGCCTTGTGCCTCTGCGTTCAACCTGGTCCCGAATTTTGTTTCTCTCACAGGATGGAATCGACGGAGAAATGTGAGGCAATCATTACTCATTTCAATGGGAAGTTCATTAAGCTGCCACCAGGTGTCCCTAGTGAGTATCTCCCCACCCCCCCCCCAAATCTGGGGCTCTTTGAGCTCACCGTCCAGGTTGACGCTCCAGCATTATGTTGGGGGGGGTGGGGGGGCGGTGGGGGGAGCGCTGCCTAGTCAGGGACGCTAAACCTCACTCCCCGTCCGTGCCTACGGAGCGAGAGACCAATTTTATTTAGGGGGTGGGGGGGGTATTGTCAGCCAGGCCATTGGGGGAGAGAGAGAGGTTGGGGTGAGGGGTGTGGGGGGGGGGGGGAGTCGAGGGGATAGAGAGAGAGAGAGAGCAAGGGTGGGGAGGGCGAGAGAGAGAGAGGGGGGTAGGGGAGGGAGAGAGGGAGAGAGAAAGGGGGTGGGGGGAGAGAGGGGGTGCGCGGGGAGGTGTGGGGGGGGGGATCGATGGGGATCGATGTGGTGTGACCGCTCTCTCTCCCTCCCTCCCTCTCTCTCTCTCTCCCCTCGCTGAAGCTCCCCTGGAACCTTTGCTGTGTAAGTTCGCAGATGGAGGCCAGAAAAAGAGACAGAATCAGAACAAGTACCTACAGAACGGGAGGTTGTGGCCCAGAGATGGAGATCCGGTAAAGGCGTGCGGCTCCGAGGCGCACACACACGCACGCGCGCACGCGCACACACGCGCACGAGCTCACACACACTCGCACACTCGCTCGCTCGCGCTCGCACAGGAACCAGAGCGAGTTTTGTTGACGCGCTCTTTGTCTCTCCACGTCAGGGTGGGATGACACTGACTTACGACCCCACAACAGCTTTGCAAAACGAGTAAGTATTTCCCCATCCCCATCCCAATCCCAAACCCCATCCCAATTCCCATCCCAATCCCCATCCCCAATCCCCATCCCAATCCCCATCCCAAACCCCATCCCAATCCCAATCCCAAACCGCATCCCAAACCCCATCCCGATCCCCATCCCGATCTCCATCCCGATCCCCATCCCAATTCCCATCCCAAACCCCATCCCAATCCCCATCCCCATCCCATTCCGCTATCTTTGTTAAAATTGTTTAATCAGGACATCGGGAGAGAAACTTCCTTCTTCTCCTCCCGTCTCCAGGTTCCCTTAAGCCTTGGACTGTCAAGGTGGGGGTTGGAGAGGAGGGTTGGGGGGGGGGGGGGGAAGCGGATAAACACCTAAATTGTAACGGATAGGGAGCGGTCGGGGGGATGGGGTGGGGGGGCGGGCAGGTGGGGTGAGAGTTGGGGGGGGGGGGGAATCCCAGGGAAATGGGACTTACAAGAGTCAACACAAAGACGCTGACGTAGAGAGAAAAACAATGAAGAGTAAGTAGCGACACTCCAGACCTAATGATATCATTAATAATAATAATAATAATAATAATAATCACGTCTTCGAGACGTCTCAAAGCGCTTCACGGGACACACCGTAAAGTGGAGTGACTGTGTGTTTCGGGAGCGAAACGATATTGATATTATCTGAATGAGGCCTTTCTCTCTCTCTCTCTCTCTCTCGCTTTCCATCTGTAGTTTTTATTCCAACCCGTACAGTATTGCTGCCAACAGGATGATCGCTCAGACGTCAATCTCACCGTATCTCACGTCTCCTATGTCTTCTTACCAGGTAAGTGCATAGACCCTCGTGAGATTGTCCTCCCTGGAGCCGAGAAGGTTAAAAAAGGGGAGATTTAATCGAGGCGTTCCAAATTATGAGGGGTTTCGATAAGAGTAGATAGGGGGAGAAACTGTTTCCTCTGGCGGGCGGGAGGGCGGGAGGGCGAGCGGGCGGGCGGGCGGGGGCATTCGGGCGGGAGGGCGGGTGGGTGGGCGGACGGGTCAGGAACCAGAGGACACGGACTTATCATAATTGCCAAAAGAACCCAAGGAGAGACCAGACCAGGGGGTATTTTTTGACCCCACGAGCCAGGCTGCTCCAAGCCAAATGTGGAAGATAAAAGCAAGTTAAAACGAAGCTCAGTCGCGACCCCCCCATCTCTCTCTCTCTCTCTCTCTCTCTCTCTCTGTCTCTCTCTCTCTGTCACTCCCAGGTTCACAGCCCCTCGTGGATGCATCACCAATCGTACCTAATGCAGCCAATGGTAAGTTTGACTCTCCTCTCGCCTTTGCTTTGCTATTTATGGACCGGAATCCCAGAATCTTCCAGCATTGAAGGAGGCCATTCGACCCATCGGGCCTTTGACGGCTCTTTGGTCCCATTTGCACCCCCCCCCCCCCCGCTCCCGCCCCAACCACACTCTCCCCAAATCCTTGCAAATGTTTGGTCTACAAGTACCTCCCTCCTTCCCTCCCTCACCTCCTCTTCGTCCAAACCCGCCATCGGTCACCCTCCTACCCCCCACCCCCACCCCCCCCCCCGCCCTCCAGCCCCTCCCAATCCCAACCCCTGACTGTTGCTGTTGTTGTTGTTGTTGCTGTTGTAGGGAACGGTAATAGCGCCCACAATGGATCACACGATGTCTCTGCAGCCCACGTCCATCATGGGACCATTAACACAGCAGCTCAATCACCTCTCGCTGAGCAACACAGGGACGGTGAGCGCTGCTTACACAGCCAACGCCCTGGGCTCCTGGGGAAAGGTGAGAGCAAACCGATGGCCTCGACCTCCCGGGGGGGTGGGGGGGGTGGGGGGATGGGGGATGTGGGGGGGGCTTTTTCTTCCCTGACCGCAACAATCCTCTCAGTTCGCACGTCAGCACGTCCTCGAGACGTCGCCAAGTGGTTTGCGGGACGAACACACGCACAGTAAAGCATCTGTTTGTGAGTGCGTGTGAGTCTGTGCGAGTGTGAGTGTGTCAGTCTGTAGCTGTGAGGGTCAGTTACGCCCTAACCATCTCCTCGATTCCCCTCCAGTACCTACCGACCACGCAGACTATGCAAGGGGCATTTATTCCCCAATACAGCCCGTTGCCTCCTAACAGCGTTTCTGTCGAGGTAAGACATCGGCAATCAATAATAACTATTTATATTCACTGCTGAAGGCACAGACGCCCGAGGAAGGGACGGAGGGAGGGAGGGAGGAGGGAGGGAGACAGACAGACAGACAAGACAGTGAAAACAGAAAGTGTTGATTCTTTCTGAAGCAAATGAGATCGATTTCTGTTCGAAAATAATCTCTGTGTACGGACGGGGGGAGACCGCGCACAGTTTGGGGGACACGCACACCACATGTTAAAGCGAGTGGCGGGATGGAGGGCGGAAGGTAAACTGGATGCACCTTCTGCTTCTTTGGTCCGGCAATACATTTACGCGACAATACATTTCATCCCAACCCCTTTATTATTAAATAATAATAATAATAATTTGGTCGCTTCAACCCCCGGCTGTGTGTGTGCGGGGGACGCTGCTGTGCGCAATTAGCTGCCGAGTTTCGCCCACAAAAAGTGTATCTCGTGAAGCGCTTTGAGACGTCTCGAAGACGCGATGAGGCGCCGGGTCAAATGCGAGGATTTTTATTATTATTATTATCTTCCAATTTGATCAATTGTACCTTTTTTTTTGTTGCCGTGAACAGGAACCTAACGGCCAGCACCAGCAGGTTACAATGGAGACGTCCTCTGAACATGCAACGTATTCCTACCAGCACAACAAATAAAACTTCAGGTAGGAACCAACGCTCGTGGGCGCGAGCCGGCGAGAGCCAAGGCTTGCGTGGGGGGGCTCGGGGGGGAGGTGGGGGGCTGGTGGGGGGAGCTCAGAGCGTGCGTGGGGGGGGGGGGTAAACTGCTGGAGTGGAACCGGCTAACACCACGGAGATTGCTGTTGACGTCCCGTGAAGCGCTTTGAGACGTCTCGAAGACGTGATGAGGCGCTGATCAAACGAAATTATTGTTATTATTATTTTTATTATGGGAAGTGTTATCAATTGACAATTTTTGTGTTTCTTCCTTTCATTCCCCCCCTCTCTCTCTCTCGCTCCCTCATTCCCTCTACCTCTTTCTCTCTCTCTCCTCCCTCCCTCCCTCCCTCACTCCCTTTCTACCTTCCTCTCTTCCACACCTCTCTTTTCTCCCCAGTTGTGTGAGTCGCGAGCGAGCAAGAGGGAAGAGAGAGAGGGAGAGAGAGAGAGAGAGAGAGAGAGACGGAGACAGCTTTTCTGATGCAGCGAGGGCGCAAAACGAGTCTGCTCCGGAGAGAGAGAGAGAGAGAGAGAGAAAGCGAGAAAGAGAGAGAGAGAGAAAAAAAGAAAAAAATGCGGTAAAGAAAAACCAAAAAAAAGAGCAAAAGGAGCGAGAGAAAGCGAGAGAAAGAGAGAGAGAACATTTTTGCACAAGATGTGAAACAACCACAAAAAAAAGAGTTTCCCCCCTTTCCCCCCCACCTCTCTCCCACCGCCCCACCCCTCCCTCCCCCACCTCTCTCCCCCGCCCACCCCTCCCTCCCCCCCCCCCCCCCCCGCCCCCACCTTACAGATGTAAGATGTTCGTTCGACAGAGAAAGAAAAGAGCTATTTTGATATATATATAAAAAAAAAACTTTCTATAATAACAGACTTTTATCAAAAAAAAAAGAAAAAACCCGGTGGCTGCATCTGTGGAAAAGACATTTATTTTGATACAGGATTTAAAAAAAAAAAGCTTATTTTTTTGGAGAGTGCAACTGAGAAGAGAAGGTCCTTATTTAAAACATTCGAAGCCTCGCAGACGGTGAGAGACGTCGCACGAAACCGATGTCTTCTTAGGTTCCTTAGCGTTTGTTTGCGCGCGCGCGAGAGAGAGAGAGAGAGCGCGCGTGGGAGAGCGTGTGCGCGTGTACGAGTGCCGGCGCGTGTGCGAGTTGCCCGCGTGTACGATATCCAGGTCGTTTTTTTTTTTTTTTGGGGGGGGGGCGGCGGGGGGTATTCTCCGAACATGGTGAGTGTCGTTTTCGCCGCGTGTGCGAGCGAGAGAGAGCGAGAGAGCGAGAGCGAGAGAGAGAGCGATGCAGTCGGAAGGTTGTACAGTCACTGACTCGCCGTGAAATGACCCGATCCGGTCAGCAAACCTTGTGGAGGAACTGTGCGCTCGTGGCTTCTTCCACCCCCTGAGTTCCACCTCGGTGGGACGCGAAAGAAACTCGAGGGGGTGGGGGCTGGGGGCTGGGGGCTGGGGGCTGGGGCGTGCGGGCGGGTGGGGGGGTGGTGGGGGGGAGATAGAAGGGGGGAAAGGGGATAGAGGGTAGGGGGTAGGGTGGGAGAAAAACATTGAACACAACTCAAATGATCTCATCTCTACAGTAGGGTTTTGTTTTTATTAATTGTCCTTTGTTTAGGATGTTAAACCTCACTCCCCCACAACTAACCCCCCCCCAGAAATTCCCCCCCACCAATTCCCCCCCACCACCAATTCCCCCCCCCCACCAATTCCCCCCCCCAACCCCTCTGTCTGAGCCCTGTTCAGGCGGACGTCGAAGATCTCCCACAGCGCTGTTGGAAAAGAGAAGGGAGTTTCTTTCTCTCTCTCTCTATCTCTCTTCCCCTCTCCTGGTGTCCTCTCCCCACACATCCTCTCCCCCCACACAACCCCCACACAACACTACCACCCACTCCCCTCTCCCACCCCACCCCCACCCCAAATAAAATGGCTCGTTCTCCTCGCTGAGCGCAAATCGGCTGCCGCGTTTCACCCAAGAAAGACACGCAGCCACGAGGCTTTACGTCCCGCTTTGAGATGTCCTCGAAAGGCACGAAAAGCGTCAAAATCCACAGCAAAGATTATTATTATTAATAATTAATAATAAGAAGAACTCGAAACCCCGACTTGGCCTCCGGTCCGTTCGCTTCGCAATGTTTAGAGACAAAAAAAAGTCTTATTTATTTGTTGGATTGAGTTGAGTTGACGATGACGATGACGAGACCGACGGAAGACTCCCAGTTTGGTGACGTTGAAGGCGTCTCAGTCCGTACCTTCGGGACAGACGTTTTCAGGCTTTTGAGCCCCAAAACGTTATCAGTGTCAGCGAGGTTTTCCAGTCGTAGACTTTTACCCCACATGGGGGTCATTGTACACCCCCCCAACTCTCTGATCTCCTCACCCACCCCAGCAACTCACTCACTCTCTCTCCCACTCCCTACTCCATATTGACCTATACAGGAACAGGAGGAGGCCATTCCCTCTCCTGGTTCCGGCCTCCTGTCTGTCCCTTGTCCGTGCCCTTCAGCCTCCACCATTGCCCCCCCAAGACTCTGCCACGTTCTCCCTCAAGCCCTCCCCCTCTGCCTCGCCCACCCCCCCCCCCCCCCACTCCACTCCCCACTCCCTCCCTTACTCCCCACCTTAAGACCTTCCTTTTTGATTGTGCTTACGGTCACCTCCCCCCCCAACGCCCTCCCTCTCTCTCCTCGCCCCCCCCACACATGGCTCGGGTGGTGGGGGGAGTGGGGGTGTGGTGGGGTGGTCAGACTCCCCCACTGTTGAGCGCTGTGGCAATCTGCAACCCTCGGCAAGTCGTTCAAAGGCGCTTTTACCAAATGTAGGGATTATTATTATTATTATTATTTTATTTAAATTCTTTTTTTTCAAAAAAAAGAATCTCAAACCCTCCACTCAGGAGATGAGGTGATTCCGGGTTGTGTTTCAGTGCCTCACAGAGAGTTTCTGCCCCAGTTTTCTCAACTTGTTCCTTTTCGTCTCGAATGAAAGGCTTCGCGTCCCCGGGGTTTTGAATCGCGACTTCATATTTAATTCACTTTTCGCTCTTCTTTGGGTTCGTTTTTTGTTTGTTTTCCCTCGAAAAAAGAATCCGTTTTTATTTCCCTTTCCCCACCCGACCGGCCACTGAAGGCCACTCATTTGGTGCTTTCTCCGTCTCCTTCTCCTACCCCCACCCCCCCACCAACCCCTTCCCCCTCCCCCCCCGGCAGGTTTACAACAAGAGCAGGGAATCCTTTTTTTAGAGTGTGGGTGGTGAGTGGGTGTCAGAGACACACAGGAACCCATCACCGTACTCAAAGAGCATCCAAACCTGTCAAAGGGTCTACGCAAGTCGTCCACATGTGGAAATGTGCCTTGAATGGAATGCGCTCTCTCTCTCTCTCCCCCTCTCCTTGGAGGGACGCCCTCTGCTTACCTAATTCCAGAGAGTCTCCCTGGAGGGACGCCCTCTGCTTACCTAATTCCAGAGAGTATTAGGCGCAGGTTGGCGAGAGCCAAGGCTTTTGGGGCGGAGGGGGGGAGGGGGGAGGGAGCCTAGAGTGGGCGTTGGGGGGTAACTGCTGGAGTCTAACCAACTAAACCCACCCATCGAGAGAGAGAGAGCGCTGTCTGGCCAAACTTTCCCGCTGCTTGTCCAGCCACGACCCCCCCTCCCCGTTAGTTAGGGCTTTGGCTACAGGGTTAACAGGAGCCAAGTGGGAAACTTGCCATCCCCCCCCCCCCCCCCCACCACCCCTCTCTCGCCTGCGCCCACCCCCCCCCCCCCCAATGAACAAGGATTCCCAACATGGGAATGAACCATTTTCTTGTGTCTTTCAATTTTTTTTTGCTGCTGTTCAGAAAAAAAATATTTTTTTTACGTAACAAAGATTTAAATGGCGGATTAACTAATGGTGCAGGAAAAAGAGGAAGAGAGTCAAAAAAAAAACAAAGTACGGGGGAGTGGAGTGGAGGGCGGGGAGGGGGGGGGCGGGGGGGAGAGAGTGGGGTGTGCGGGGTGGGGGGGGGAGTTGGGTGCGGATGAGACGTCTTTGCTTCATTTGGAAATTTTGATAGATTTTTGTACAGACATATTTTGCGAGAGAAAGAGAGAGAGAAAGAGAGAGAGAGAGAGAGAGAGTGTCCCCTTTAACGGTAACAGATACATCTTAAGGATAATGTTTTTTTTAAAGTGTTATAATAATTTGTGTTCATCTCTTTTATACCTGGATACCAATAAATATCTTTTTTTTTTGGTCTGTATCGAAGCTTCTTTTTGTCACCGAGCTCGACTTGGATTTCTTTTCTTCCCTTCCGTTAAAAGTCGTCTTATTTCGTTCGCCCGTACGTTTTCGGTCATTTTCCCCAACATCCAACCCCACCCCCACACCCCACACCCCACCCCACACCCCACCCCACCTCCACACCCACACGCGCGCACTCCCAGCTCGGGTGCGAAGCCAGGACATATCAAGAAAAAAAATGACTTAATAACCACATCATTCGGTCGCTCGATCCACGGCTGTTGGCGTGTGGCGGCTGTCGGTGCGCGGCTGCCGCGTTTCGCCCACAAAGTTATGCGGTCACTACACTCGTCGGCGGGTCCTGCGAAGCGCTTTGAGACGTCTCGCAGAGGCGATAAGGCGCTGTGTCGAACCCAGGATCACTTCACTCTGCCACCTGGTGGGAGTGTGTTGACGTAGCCTTTGCGTCCTCAGCAAATGGCTGTTTGTGGATTATTCTTAATATTCTTTTTATTCTTCTTCTTATTATTTTTATTAGGGGGCAAATTCTGTCCGTCAACGTGTGCGGACAACCCTCGTTTGGCACATTTTTATTTAAGAGCATAAAGGCTCTTTAAAAGAAATTGGTAATAATCATAATAGGGAACGGATTTAAGATGAATCGGCAAAAGAACCAGAGGGGAGACCAGACCAGGAGACAATTTTTTTTTACCCAGAGACTTGTTACGGTCTGGAACGCACGGCCTGAAAGTGGGGGGTGGAACAGGTGCGGTGGGAGGTTTCAAAAAGGGAATTGGATAGGGACGTGAAAGGGAACAAAGTTCAGGGCTTTGGGGGTAAGAGTGGGGGGGAGTGACTGGATCTTGTTGGGGTAAGAGCGGGGGGAGTGAGTGGGACTAGTTGGGGTAAGAGCGAGGGGGGAGTGAGTGGGACTAGTTGGGGTAAGAGCGAGGGGAGAGTGAGTGGGACTAGTTGGTGGCTCTTCCAAAGAGCCTATGCCCGATGGGCCGAATGGCCTCCTTCTGTGCTGTAAGATGCTATGATTCTATGACCCATGTGTCTGGGGCAGGTGAGGTGGAACCCGGTGCCCATCTCCCCCCCCCCCCACCCCCCCACCTCCTGCTCCCCTCCCTGCGGCTCACACCGGGATCACTCCGGTTACATGTGCTCCGGGTGCTTCTGAAGGTATGAGATGAAGTCCGAGACGGGTTTGCCTTCAAAGAGGATCTGATGGACAGCGGTGAACAGAGGGAACCTGCAGAGAGGAACCAGAGACTGTAATAATAATAATAATAATAATAATAATAATAATAATAATAATCCCGGCGTTTGACCCGGCGCCCGATCACGTCTACGAGACGTCTCAAAGCGCTTCACAGGACACACTGCAGAGTGTAGTGACTGTGTGCTTTGTGGGGACGCTGCTGTGCGCAATTGGCTGCCCCGTTTTACGCCTACGAAACGTACAGTCGCTACACTGTCCAGCGAAGCGCTCTGAGACGTCTCGAAGACGTGATAAGGCGCTGGATCATATACAAAGATTATTATAATTATTATTTTTATTATAAAAGCAAACACATTCACCCGCTATATTGGGCTCAAAGCACAGTCACTATGCAATCACTGTCAAATCCCGCGAAGCACTTTTTGAGACACGAGGACTAATTATTGTTAATAATTAATATAGATAACAAAGGGAAGGGAATCACTCACTGATCCACAAGGTGTTTGCTCTTCAGGTAGTGATTGAGCTCAGATGCTGTGTTTGGACCCTCCACCTTCTGTCCGTTCATCAACTCTTTCTCCAACTCAGCCACAGACTGTCCGAGACAGAGAGAGAGAGAGAGAACGAGAGAGAGAGAAGGAGAGAGTCAGAGAGACGGAGAGAGAGCGAGAGAGAGAGAAAGACAGAGACGACGGAGAGCGAGACACGGAGAGAGAAAGAGACAGAGAGAGAAAGAGAGTGAGAGAGGGTAAGACAAGGACAGAAAGAGAAAGAGAGAGACAGACAGAGGACCATAGGAAGAGGCCATTTCAGCCCCTCAAGCCTGTTCCGCTATTAGACCACCGCTGATCTGCACCTCAACTCCAATTACCCCTCTTTGCCCCGTAACCCCTGATCCCCTGACCTGAGAAACATCTCACCCGCTCAGAGAGAGAGAGAGAGAAAAAGACGGAGAGAGACGGATAGACACCCCCCCCCCCACCCCACTCACCTGCCCGGACAGAGCGACAGAAACGGACACAGATAGAGAGAGAGAGAGAGAGAGAGAGAGACAGACACACACACACGCACCCCCCCACCCCCTCACCTGCCCGGACAGAGCGACAGAGATGGACACAGATAGAGAGAGAGAGAGAGAGAGAGATGGAGAGAGAGAGAGAGAGAGACAGACACACACACACGCACACCCCCACCCCCTCACCTGCCCGGACACAACGAAAGCCTCGGCCAGACGTCGGTTGCGTCCGGCGTAGCAGCTGGCGATGAGGTCGGCGACGCCGCAGCTGTGGAAGAAGGTTCCGGTGTCCGCGGGGGACGAGGGGGAGAAGATTCTGACGAAGCCGATTATCTCCATCAGCCCCAAGCGAACAGCGGCAGCTTTAGTGTTGCCCCCCAATCGCAGCCCATCACAGAGACCAGCACCCAACGCAACCACATGCTACACAATATAACAATAAGAGAATAATAATAACCATATAATAATACAACGAGAATATAATAATATAACACAACAATAATATAATAATACAATACAATAATATAATACAACAATAATGTGATAATATAATACAATAATATAATATAATACGATACTAATGTAATAATATAATACAATAATAATATAATACAATAATAATGTAATAATATAATACAATAATAATATAATACAATAATAATGTGATAATATTATACAATAATAATATAATACAATAATAATATAATAATATAATACAATAATAATATAATACAATAATAATGTGATAATATAATACAATAATAATATAACTATAATAATATAACAATATAATACATTAATGTAATAATATAATAATATAACTGTAATATAATAATACAAGAATAATCTAATAATATATAATAGTAATAGTATAATAGTAAAATAATAGTAATAATATAACAATATAATAATATAACAATATAATACAATGATAACGTAATGTTATAATAATAAAATAAATAAAACAACAATATAACACTATAATAATAAAATAAAAACATAAAATAATAATATAACACAGCAATAATAATCCTTGTATTTGCTATCGCGCCTTATCGCGTCTTCGAGGCGTCTCAAAGCGCTTCACAGGACACACTCAACCCCAGAGACGAGGGGCCGGACCTCGGCTGATTACCTTGAGAGCCCCACAGAGCTGCACAGCACACAGGTCAGACACCACACTGACGTGGAAATGTGACGTCTGTAGGAGACTCTTTACGATATTTGCGTGATCCTGGTTCCTGCACCCTGAGGACAACAACAACAACGACGACGACGACGACGACGACAACGACAACGACAACGACAAAGATCAATCAATAATTTGGTCACTCGCTCCCCAACCTTTCAAGCACAAAGGTTTCAATGCACAGACACACACACACACACTCCTCGCATTTGGAGTTCCCTGTAGCTCAGGGGTCAGACCCCTTCCCCTCGCACCCCACAGCCCTTGTAGCTCAGGGGTTAGACCCCTCCCCTCGCACCCCACAGACCCTGTAGCTCAGGGGTTAGACCCCTTCCCCTCGCACCCCACAGCCCCTGTAGCTCAGGGGTTAGACCCCTCCCCTCGCACCCCACAGCCCCTGTAGCTCAGGGGTCAGACCCCTTCCCCTCGCACCCCACAGCCCTTGTAGCTCAGGGGTTAGACCCCTCCCCTCGCACCCCACAGACCCTGTAGCTCAGGGGTTAGACCCCTTCCCCTCGCACCCCACAGCCCCTGTAGCTCAGGGGTTAGACCCCTTCCCCTCGCACCCCACAGCCCCTGTAGCTCAGGGGTTAGACCCCTTCCCCTCGCACCCACAGCCCCTGTAGCTCAGGGGTTAGACCCCTTCCCCTCGCACCCCACAGCCCCTGTAGCTCAGGGGTTAGACCCCTCCCCTCGCACCCCACAGCCCCTGTAGCTCAGGGGTTAGACCCCTCCCCTCGCACCCCACAGCCCCTGTAGCTCAGGGGTTAGACCCCTCACCTCGCACCCCACAGCCCCTGTAGCTCAGGGGTTAGACCCCTCCCCTCGCACCCCACAGCCCCTGTAGCTCAGGGGTTAGACCCCTCACCTCGCAAGCCAGAGGAAGGACCCGGGTTGGATTCCCGGGCGGGTCAGGACAGGGCGAAACCTTGTGAAAGTTTCCTTACTGCCCCCCCCCCCCCCCCACACACACACACACACACGCGCGCCTCTGGTTACCAGCAGTAACTAGGAACCCGCTTGTTAGTCGACCGGCGGGTGGCTTTTCCGGGGGTAATAATCCCTTCAAGAATAAATTAAAAATCTAAAGCGGTGACTGCAACCCACGGCTGTTTGTGGGGGACGTCGCCGGGCGCGATCGGCTGCCGCGTTTCGCCCGCAAAACACACACACACACACCCACACACACAGTCACTGCACTTTACAGCGGGTCCCGTGAAGCGCCTTGAGAACGTCTCGAAGACTGACAGGAGACGGGTTACCCAGTGTGCTCTCGCAGAAGGTCCCGGCGGCCACTTCTTGGGCCAAATTGGCTCCCGTCAGCACCGACACCTCGATCCCCAACTCCTCCCCGATCACATCAGACAAGAGTTTCAGTCCTTCCGGGCCGCGGCCAAAACCCTACGGGGAACACTTTTTAAGCAGGATAGGAGAAGGAGGAGGCCATTCAGCCCCTCTCCAGCCTGTTCCACCATTCTGTTCGAATGATTTAGTATCTCAACTGATCTGTACCTCAACTCCAACTCATCCCCTCTCTTTCTCTCTCACTCACTCACTCACTCACTCTCTCACTGACACAATCTCTCACTCACTGATTCACTCACTCACTCACTCACTCACTCACTCACTCACTCACTCACTCACTCACTCACAATCTCTCACTCAGTCTCACTCACACACTCTCTCACTCATACAATCTCTCACTCACGACTCTCATTCTCACTCACTCACTCACTCACTCACTCACTCACTCACTCACTCACTCACTCACTCACTCACTGACACTCTCTCACTCTCTCACACAATCTCTCTCACTCAATCTCACTCTCTCACTCAATCTCACTCTCACACACTCTCTCTCTCTCGCCCCCTCACTCCCTCCACGGTGACCTTGATCAGTGAGACTCCAATGGCTCCCGGCTTCACGTGACCTTTCAGACGGTTGCAAATCTCGCCGATGAACGGTTGAGGGACGGCAAATATCAGGATATCGGCGCCTCTCGAGGCCTCCAGCAAATCGGGAAACACCACCTCACCCGAGGAACAAACAGCAACGAGTAAACAACAACAACAACAATGACGCATGGCATTCACACACAGCCCTTCACGTCGGGAGGACATCCCAAGGCGTTGGACAGTCAGGATTTGGACCTGAGCTGGTGGTGGGGGGCGTGGGGTGTGGGGGTTGGGATCAGGCGGGGGTGGAGGGAGAGAGAGAGAGAGGGGTGAGGGAGAGAGAAGGGTTAAGGGAGAGAGAGAGGAGAGTGAGGGAGAGAAAGCGGTGAGGAAGGGGGAGAGAGAGGGGTGAGGGAAGGAGAGAGGGACTCACCAGATTGTGTGGGAGTGAGTGTCCGGGCAGGTAGCGGATGTTTTCGTGCTCCTGGTTGATAATCTCCGACAGCCTTCTGCCGTCCACCATCTCCTCGAACGCCCACATCCTCACCTGGCTCTCGAACTGCTGCTCGCCGGCCCCCGCCTTCCCCGCCGCCATCTTCCCGATCACCGTCCCCCTGAAACATCCATTGGTTGGGCAGTTTGGGTCTTTGACGTAGCAGCTACAGTGGGAGTCCTGGAGCGTAAGGGGCTTGTGAGCGCTCTTGCCCGCGCCAAAGTAGGGGTAGAGCCTCAGAGCGCCCGACAATGGCGGAGCAGGATACCGAGACTGAGTGCGGTGGTGGGTGGGGTGGTGGAGGGGGAGCGAGGGGGGGGGAAAGGTGACCGTAGGCATTGTAGGTCTTCAGGCACGACTTGAAGATGGGGGAGGAAGGGGGGGGCGAGACGGAGGGAGAGAGAGAGGGGGGGAGAGAGCGACAGGGATTTATATCAAATGCAAAGATTATTATTATTATTAAAGCATGAAAGCGACATGCAACAACCTGTACGTTTCGGCGCTCGCTACACCCACACACAGACACAGAGACAGACACACAGACACGCAAATTCTACCCCTTAAATTGCGTGAATGTAATCCTAAAAGTTGCGTGAATTCTGCCCCTTAAATTGGGCCAAGTGTCAGCGCTCACTACACACACAACACACACACACACCTACCAGCTCCCCGCTCCCACCACACACACTCTCTTAGGAACATCCATGTGCACACAGTCGCAGTCCGCGTCCAAGTTACTGCTCTCTCGGCTGTGTGAGTGAGTGCGTCTGTCTGTCTGTCTGTAACGCGGAGCTCTATTGGGTCTCTCAAAGCACAAAGCAAATGAATGCTAATCTAATCTGGTTGTCAAACTCAACTGAGCCCACCCCCCCCCCCCCCCCACCCCTTGTCCTATCCTTCCCACCACCACTGGCTGCAAACCATTGGCTTCAACACTCATTGGCTTCAACACTCATTGGCTTCTACACTCATTGGCTTCAACACTCATTGGCTTCAACACTCATTGACAAACCAAAGTTTGACCGACAGCGGCAGAAATGTGTGGAAACCTGTGCAAATCGTTCCCCAAAGTACAAATGCCCCCGACGCAGACCGAGAGGGTGGGAGGGGGGTAGGAGGAGGAGGAGGAAATCTGCAACACAAGACTATTTAAGCGACTTTGCTCCGTCTCCCATCGGTGACACTCCTAAGGCTCAATTTTGCAATCCCCCCCCCCCCAATTAAACAAAATAATAATAATTTGATCACTCAGTCCACGACTTGTTTGTGGGGACGCTGCTGTGCTCAAATGGCTGCCGCGTTTCGCCCACAAAACACACGGTCACCACACTTTACAGTATATCCTGTGAAGCGCTTTGAGACGTCTCGAAGCTGTGATAATTATTATTATCTGTATTATTATTATTATATATATATAGATCATGGTGAAAACCCAGGTGAGACCAAAGACTGTCCCCGTTGTCTCCTGTCACCTTGGGACGTCCCCCTGGCGTGAAAGGCGTTACGCAAATATAACGTGTTGTTGTTGGCACTGTTATGTGTGAGGCAGTGGAACAGGTCAATGGTTGAGGTCAGGGTAACGCATAATGCCATCTCTGGGAGTCCAAGGTACAATCAACAGAGATAGACAACCTGCTGGAGGGCAAAGGACAGTTAGTCTGCACAGAGAGCTAACACTGACTTAAATAACGACAGGATTTCCCTACCGCACGGAAGCCGTGTTACGGGCAGAGAAACAAGACATTTACACAGCGCCTCTCACGAGGGAGGGAGGGAGGGGGTGAGGCGGAGGGGCTGTGGGATGGAATTCCAGAGGGTAGTGACTTGCTCCCCCTATCTCACCGCTGTTAACCAAGTTAATGTTTGGTAGAAAGTTCAGTGAAGGTCAGCCACAGGCCCCCAGTGGCCACCTCTCACCTTTGTCCCAGTGGAGTCTTTGCCGCGGGGTATTTAAGGCACGAACAGGGCTTTTATTAAAGCAGCGACGATGATGTTGACGAACGATTAACCTGGTTCTCGAGTTCCGCCGAGACGTCAGTCCGGCTGTCGGTCGTGCACCCAACAACTTGCCTTTACACAACGCAGTGTCTTGCGGCGCTGAACGGGGCAGGGCGGGGGGATTGGGATTGGGGGGGTGGGGTGGGGAAGAGTCCCAAAAGCTTTTGGGAGGCGTAGTGGGGCGGCCGGATGCGCAGCAAGCGATGGTGGAGCAGAGGGGGGCAAGGGAGGGACCAGCAGGAGGTTGGGGGTATGAACTTGGGGGAGCTGTGCGTTGCGATTCAACGTTGCAGTAAAACGAGAGAAAGAGGGAGAGAAAAGAGATTCTATGTTGAAGGTTTTTATTAAAATTGGGTGAGACGTACAAGCATACAGTACAAAAATCTGGTCCCTCAAAAACTACAATAAAAATACAGGTTATTGCAGCCCATAAACTGCAGAGGTTTTTTTTTCCCTTAAAAACCGCCTAAATTACAGTTTTCGTTAACTGGAAACTCGCATTCTAGTTACACTTGGGGGGGGGGGGGCGGGGCGGGGAGGGAGGGGTTGGGGTTGGGGTGGGGGAGGGAGTCTAAAAAGGAGGCTGAAATCAAATGACCTTCATATAATTGCTCCTCCCGGATTGGGGAGGAGGTGGTGCGGGGGGTCAGAGAAGAGGTGTGGGGGGGGAGGAAGAGGAGTGAGAGAGAGGGGAGGAGAGAGAGAGGGGCAAGGAGTGGGGGGGGGGGGGGGAAGTAAAAGAGGACAACAGAAGAGGGACTTTAACAAGACCCTCCGGGAATAGACCTGGTTTTGCCTTGACCACCAATGACAACAATTGGACCCACTTCAGGACGGGTTCCTTCAGAACCAGTTGGGTTTCCGGGTTAATAGCAGCGTTACCAAAGCTTCTCACAGGGGCAGCGGGAAAGTGCGACCTATCGACTAGTCAGGTTACCGACGAGAGCCACTGCAATCGAGTGACTTTACCGACAGACCAACCGAGGAAAAGTCGAGGTTGGGGGGTGGGAGGGAGGAGAGATACTTGAGGTCCACTTATTCCCTGCCTCTTAAAAGACTCTTTCCCTCTTTCTCCTGAGCTTCTCTCACACTCTCTCTCTCTCTCTCCCTCCCTCTGGTACAGTAGCCAAGAGACAGATGAATGGATGGGGTGGTGGGGAGTAAGTGGGAGGTGAGAGGGAGAACGCAGGCCATCAATCAGTACGTTTTCGGGCAGGTTACAGAATAGTCACAAGATCCTCCTTGGGTTTAAGACAGCAGATGAACTGAGATCAACACAGTGACCAGCGACTGAATCTGGGACCTTCCCTTGTGTTTGGGTTGGTGCTGGGTCACGTTGGGGTGGGACGGGAGAGGGGGAAGAGGAGAAAAAGGTGGGACAAGAGGGGGGGGGGGTGAAAATCCAGATCTTACTCCTTCACGTCTTTGGACTCTAACCTTGAAAGAGCATCAAACTTGGGGTCCACTGTTCCAATTCTGATCTGCTGCGTCTCAACACCCACGCTGGACACTGCCTGGGGCTAATGCATCTCTACACAAGCCCGCAGGACGTCCCATGGGCGAGTTCGAACCCCTCTCTTCCCCCCACCACCACCCGCCCACCCACTCCGGCCTCTTGTGACTTTGAATAGCTTCAGTTTTTGTTCCCCCCCTTCCCCCCAAACTTCATTGTCACCGTTTGGTGATGACGGTTTCGGTCTAATCGGAGGGAAATATTTTGGGTAATTTTCCGGCACGGGCACAAAGGGCCGAATGGCCTCCTTCTGTGCTGTAGTATGTTCCAAGGAAAGGACTTGGGACTGACTTGATGACCACAGAACGCACTTCTCTCCAAAATACTCAACACAGGAGATTAATTAACTAGCCAGTCAACGAACTAACTGTGCACACTCACACACACTCACACACACACAGTCCCTTGGCTCCCTAGCGTTTTGCACTTATTTCAGGGCAAAGCGTCTCTCTGGTGACCTCCCGTCTCCGGGTCCAGTCGGAAATTAAACCTTTTCTCTGGATCCCGAAACCTTTTCACGGCCTTCACAACCGGAGCAGAGGGAACGCCTAAGGTAGGTTTTGGCTCGCTACGTAAACTAGCAGCCCACGCTTATCGCCATGCTCTCCACAGGTTTATGGTTAGTGTAGCCTTTCTTCGTGTGGTGGGCATCCATTTTGGTGGTGGTGGGGGAAGGGGGGAGAGAGGCTGGGGGGGGGGAAAGAGGGAATCTCACACCCACCCCATATCCATCCTTTATCCTTGAAGGGTTTCGCCCACAAACTAGTCAATTCACTTTGCAGTGTATTCTGTGAAGAGCTTTGTGACGTCTTGAAGACGTGATGAGGGGCTAGGGCAAAGGCAAGGCTTATTATTATTACTATTATTATTTACCCGCTCCCCCAGATTGGCTATTAGCGGCGCAACAGGCGAAGGGCACTCGGGAAGGTGAACCTCTGGATTACCTGGAATAAGAACACAAGTCGCTGAGAACGCACAGAACTGTGGTCATTGGCCTGAAACATTAACTCATTTTCCTCTCTCTCTCTCTCTCTCTCCATAGATGCTGCCTGACCTGACCTGCTGTGTGTTCCCAGCGACGCCTGTTTTTATTTTAATTCAGATTTCCAGCGCCTGCAGTATTTTGCCTCTGACTATCCGGTCTCTCTTTAAGACTTTTGGACCAAAGAGGTGTAATTAGGTGAAAGTGTTTTTTTTTCTTGAAGGGATCGAGGGGTGTGAGTGCACACTGACTTAACACAACGTAAGCTCCATCTATAAAATAGTGTGTGCGTGGAGGGAGGGAGGGAGGGAGGGAGGGAGGGGGGAAGAAATGAGTGGGGAGGGGAAGGAAAGGGAGTGGGGTGGTGGGGGAGGAAAAGGAGTCACAGTTAGTGGTCAAAACACTTGCCACTTCGAAACACAGAACACGACGACGAGACAGAAAGCAAGAACAAACGAAAGAAAGAACGAAAGAACGAACAAAAGAAAGAAAGAAAGAAAGAAAGAAAGAAAGAAAGAAAGAAAGAAAGAAAGAAAGAAAGAAAGAAAGAAAGAAAGAAAGAAAGAAAGAAAGAAAGAAAGAAAGAAAGAAAGAAAGAAAGAAAGAAAGAAAGAAAGAAAGAAAGAAAGAAAGAAATAGACGTAACATCGAATTCCGCCTGGGCCTATTCCTCTATTATAGATCGACTAATTCGTTAATAATAATAATAATAATAATATCACTAGAAGTAAGTCGTTTAAATACAATTGTACATCGGTTACTGACTTTTAACGGGGACTAGTGAGCCAGGTCGCTAGGCTTCCCACTTCCTGGAATAACACTAAACTAATCTCAGTGTCTAAAATCCTATGCCATATATATTTTTTTTAAGAAAGGGGAGAGAACGGGTCAGTCAGTCGTACGTGACCGACTGACTTGACTGACTTGACTGACTTGGCTGATGCTGGTAGCAAAGAACACTTTGGGAGTTCAAGGGCGTTATGGTGATTTATTCTGTGCAAGTGATGCATTTGTAGTTTTCTTTTTTTGTTTTCTTTTACAGTTTCGACACCGCAAAAAAAAAATAATAAAAAAACAGGAAACAATTTTTTTTTTTTCTTTTCTTTTCTTTCTTGGCCCTCGCGGCTTCGGCCCCCGAAACCCAATGCCCACCTGCTGCTGCAGCCCACACCCACACGGGCGGGCGGTGGTCGGGGGAGTGTGGGGGGGGGGGGGGGGAGGGGGGGAGGGCTGAGCGAGCGAGAGAGGGCGAGCGAGTGCCAGAGACGCTCTTAGGTGTTGCGTATCCCTAGCGCTTGCTCCAACTCCTGCCTCCTCTGCTGCACCTAGAAACGGGACGGGGGAAGAGAGGACGTAAAGGGTTAAACTCCGCTGGAGACAGATGCCCGCCTGCCCGCCGGGCTTTCCGCGATAAAACCGCACCCAAGCCTTGCGGCGACTGGTGAGTTGGGGGGTTGCTCTTACCTTGGAATAGAAGTATCTGCACACAGCCTCCTGGGCCCAGGGCTGGAAGTAGAACTCTGCCCTTCGCTCCTCCTCTGGGTTTCCCACCACATCCGTCATGGACTGGGGACACGGGAAGAGGGGACGCTCATTGGAACAGAAGTATTGAAAATTTCTCTCTCTCTCTCTCTGCACGGGCTCCAATATCCTACTCGTTCCCTGCGTCTAGTTTGCAACTCTCCCCCCACCGCCCCCACCAACCCGCCCCCTCCCCCACCCACCACACACATCTCCGTCAAGATATTCCGACGAAAAGCTATTGACCCTGAAACTTTAACTCGCTTTCCCTCCCCCACTCTCTTCTCTCTCTCTCTCCATAGATGCTGCCCGACCCGCTGAGTGTTCCCCCTGACGCTGGGACCGGGAGGAACTTTTTCGGAGTTAATCCTTTTTTTTTCAAATCCCGTTTTGGTGGCAGTCATCAGTTTGTGAAGAGACATCCGTGCGGAACACTGGCACAATGGCTGCCCCGGACTCAGCAGTATTCAAGGTCACGTGTTAACACCCGAGCGTTAGGGTTTGCGCTCATGCGAGACTAAACCCCCCCCAACTCCCCACCCTGGTTAGCATCCCGGAGCGCTTGACAGTGGCGGAGTCTGACCCCGAGGGAGGGAGGGAGGGAGGTGACCGTAAACACGATCAAAAAGGGAAGGTCCTTAGGCGGGATTTGAAGGTGGGGGAGGGACCGGGCAAGACGGAGGGAGGGATTGAGGGAGAGCGTTCCAGAGTTTCGGGGCGTAGCCTAGTGGCTGAAGGCACGGCCACCGATGGTGGAGTGTAGTGGTTGGGGGTGGGGGGTGCGAGGGACAATTCGGAGGCCGGAGACAAGTTCGGGGACAAGCAGGTATGGTTTGTACCTTGAGATCCCGGCACTGGGATTGCAGCCAGTCGTTGATGAAGCCTTGGGGGTCCCTAGCGAAGCTCAGCATAAACTCTCTCTGGGTCTTCAGCTGGTTGATGGTCTCGATGGTCTCATGGATCTGGGGGGAGGCAAAAGGTCACGGTTATGTGTCCAACGACCCACCAGTTGGTCGCTTGGGACAATCGCAATCGGAAACTACGCCCCCAAACTCTGGCACACTCTCCCTCAATGCCCCCGCCTCCTCCCCCATGCAAGTTGTTGTTGCTGTTGAAGCATTGACTGAAAGCTTCCATGTTGGAGCTTCCTCTCCTCATGGCAAATGGCTGAAGCCTTGTGCTGGGCTTAGGCCTCATTGACATTCAGATGTGGCTCCCACAGCTTTCTCCGCTGTTCCTTGGCTGGTGGCCAAGTGGGTCACTTTGCTCCGATTTGCTGCATGATCAATGAGATGCAATGTCATGATACCAACACCCCCCCACACACACAAACCCACACACTAACCCCCCCACCCCCCATAGCCCCGCGCGCGCGCACACACACTCCACACAGCCCCTCCCCACACACACACAGACCCCACACACGCGGAAACAAATCCTGGATTTTTACAACATAAAAGCGGAGGCTTCGAGTACAAAGAGGTTCAGCTGAGTGTCGCTCTTTGTGGAGGAGTGACCTCGGCCTAACCCCCCCTTCCCCGCCCCCAATCCCTCCCCAAAGCCTTTAAAAACAATGAATTCATAGCTGAGTTAGTTGAAGGACAGCGTTATCCCATCATCCAACAATTTCATGACAAGAGGCAAACTTTTTATTCAGTGACTAAAGACCATAATCCTCAAACGCAGACTTTTTCAGTTTCGGGGCGTAGTTTGGCTCTGCATTCCCACGTTCCCTTCGCCCCGCTCCCTCCCTTGCCTCCTTCCAGGCACGTCTCAAACCTTCGGTCACCCTCCGCCCTCCCAACCCCCCAGCTCGGGTCCAAATCCCTGACCGGCCAGTGCCTTGGGACGTCCTCCTCGCCGTGTAAATGTCACTTTGTGTTGTATTGCTCACGCCATTTCCCCCCCCGGACCAGGCTTGCTTCTGGCAGCGATTTTTCTAATCATTTCCGTCGAGGCAGAAGTGTTACCAATAACATTCAAAGTCTTATCCAAATGCCACTTCCCATTAGGGGAATGCAGGACACCTACACCCCGGCGTAGCTTTCAAGACAATTTATAGCTCCTGTTCACCTACACTTAAACTGCCAGTAACCTTGGAACGTTCTTGAGAGGAACGGCGGGGAGATAAGTAAGTGGTTGGAGGAAAACGATCTGCGAGAGAGAGGACTGGAACCTTCACACAGAACCCTGCGCTCACCTTGTTATCCAGAGCAGCGATTTCCTGCTGGCTGGCGGTAGAGAGGAGAAAGGAATTCATTTGGGTCTTTAGAGTGTCGTCCACCTCCACATCTATGTCATAGCAAGCGGTTTTCTTCTGGTCGTTAGGGTCCACGCTGAAAATCGCCAACGGAAAGTGGCGTTGACATAAAATCAGAGAGAAATGGTTAGCCAATGCCAATCTTGGGCTCTGAAAGCCTGCAGATAATTGCACTAAGACGGTAGGAGAGGTAAGGAGTTCCACCAAGGTGACTTTAGGGGGAAAAGACTTCAGGGGGAAAAGACTTTAGGGGGAAAAAATTGCGTTCAGTGATGCGAGCGGACTATAATAATCCTTGCATTTGATATAGCGCCTTAGCACGTCTTCGAGAAGTCTCAAAGCGCTTCACAGGATACACTGTAAAGTGAATTGACTGTGTATTTTCTGGTCGAAAGACTATGAGCAGCTTTTGGAGCCCCATACAGGGCAACCCTGGTGTAGCGAGATGTCGTCTGGGTCTAATCTCTCCCACAAACGCTCGCCAAAAATATACACCACCCATTTTAGATTTATTCTGGATCTTCCACGTCAGGAGGAAGTCTCTGAGATCATAATAATAATCCTTGCATTTAATATACCACCGTATCACACCGTGAGCCGCCTCAAAGAGCTTCACAGGATACACTGTAAAGTGTAGTGACTGTGGGGTTTGCGGGTGAAACTCCTACTGCTCAGGAACCGACTACCGAGACCTCCACAGTGGATGGACTCGATTCCGATATTCCCCTCGGCAGGCACGTCAGTTTGCCAGGGAGAGTCAGACTGCAGACCTGACTGGAAAATGAGTAAAGCAGACGCAGCAAGGCAGGGCAGGGCAGGGAGACAGCTCAGAATTAATTACCTCTCACAGAGAGAGAGAGAGAGAGAGAGAGAGAGAGAGAGAGAGAGCGATGAATGTGTGGGGAATAGATTGCACAGGGAGGTGGCGGAGACAGATTGTGTCAGCAAATACCAGAAGAAATGAGATAACTCTTTGGTGAAGAAACTTATTGGCGAGGGCATGAGGGAGGCTAAGGGAGGGTAAGAATGGACGAAACTCGGTAGCCAATTGCACGCAAACAGCCGTGGATGGAGTGGCCCCATTATTATTATGATTGTTATTATTTTGAAGGGGTTATTACCACCGGAAAACGATCCACTAATATCCTGACCTCACCCACACTTTCTCTTTAAAGCTAAATAATTACCGTTAGTCACCCAGCCATTAATGACCCTCTTCTTACCGCCTCGCCCTTCAGCACCCTGTACCCAGGCCCTCTTGCTTTAAGTGCCCTCACCTGATCACGTGGTTGATGATGATGGGCTCTGGAGGCATCAGCAGGGCATGGAGCCTTTGCGGTATTTCCGAGAACTTCATTCGCTGGCACTCAAAGATCTGCGGCAAAGGATCATTACGTCAGAACGCAACAACAGCAACGCGCGTTCACAGAGAACTCTTATCACTTTGTTGAGACGCCTCAAAGCGCTTCGCAGAATATACTGTAAAGTGCAGCGACTGCGTATTTTGTGGGCGAAACGCAGCAGCCAATTGCGCCCGGCAGCGTCCCCTCAAACAGTCGTGGATTGAGTGACCCAATAATTATTATTATTAGTAGTATTTTTTTGGGAGGGATTATTACTCCCAAAAAAGTGATCCGGCCATCGACTAACAACCGTAAGGTTCCTACTTACTGCTGGGTAAACAGAGGCACGCGCGTGTGTGTGGGAAGTAAGGAAACTTGCCCAATGTTTCGCCCTAACCTGACCCGCCCGGGAATCGAATCCAGGTCCTCTCGCTTGCGAGGCGAGGGCTCTAATCCCTGAGCTACAGGACTTCTTACTTATTGCCGGGCAGTAAGAGGTGCGTATGTGTGTGTGTGTGTGTGTGTGTGGAAGGAGTAAGGAAACCTGTGCTGACGATTACCTGCTGAAGGTATTTGTCACAGTTGATAAACTCGCGCTCATGCGGATCCTGCAGTTTGTGAGTTTTGATGTACTGCCACAGGGCCTGGATGATGACGGGCCTGGTCTGAGTGTGGATACCCAGCAGCCGGGCCAGTCGTGGATCCAACTTAAACTGGGGCGGCTAAAGAAGAAGAACAAGAGAGATCTCATCACTCTATACAGCCAGCAATACAATACCAACACCACCACCACCACAACTACTTGCATTTACATGGGGTAGCGTCCCGAAGCACTTGACAGTGGTGGAGTCTCACACCCAGAGCCAGGAGGAGAGAGAGGAGAGGGAGGGAGAAGAGGGAGGGAGGGGTGGTTGGGAAGATAACCAACGACGCTGTCGAAGAGAAAGGTCTTGAGATTGTGGACGGGAGTTTAAAAGGACAGGGGGGGTGGGGCGCGTGAGGCGACTGAAGGATGGAAGAGACGGGGGAAGCAAGTAGTTAACGGGAGTCAGAAAAGTCACCATTAGATGACGAGGGTTTACTGTAGGCTTGTGAACTTAGTCCAATGGTGGCGTTTTAATAGTGCTCTCATTGCCACCTAAAGGCGACAGTGAGACTCTACAGCTCAGGCTCAGCAGCTCAGGCAACATCATCATCTCGAGACACGTTGCCGCAAAAGTGGCTGTAAGCGCGACACTGTAAAGCGTAGTGACTGTGCGCGTTTTGTGGGCGAAACGCGGCAGCCAATTGCGCCCAGCGACGCTACCCCTCCCCCCACAAAGAGTCGTGGCTCGGAGTTGAGGTACAGATCAGCCGTGATCGTACAGAGTGGCGGAAGAGGCTCGAGGGGGCTGAATGACCTCCTCCTGTTCCAATGTTCATCCCTGGCTGCAGAGACCCTACCTGGTAATCCAGCATCAGCAACACTGTGCAGCGGACATTCACATCACCCGGTCTCTTCACCTGGAAACCATCGGTCTCCTGGGTTGTGGCTGTCCTGTGCCACTGAGAGAACGAGGTGTTAATTAAACAGAGGGATTTGTACGTGTGGTGTGTGTGTGTGGTGGTGTGTGCGTATGGTGTGTGCGTGTGTGTGTGTGTGTCGCTTACCTCAACCAGGTGGTTGTCAGGTCCATAGAGGTCTTTGTCCAACTCGATCACGAGCGATTTGAAGAAGGAGGAAAATTTCCGCTTCTGTTTTGTGGCATCGTACTTCGATACAGCCGACTGCAGACACACACCCAAAATTGTCATGTTGTTATTATTATTTCACTTTGAAAGTTAGTAAATTATCCTTGCATTTTGATATAGCTGCTTTCCGGGCGGGGGTGGGGGGGGAAATGTTGGGCAAGTTTCCTTGCTCCACCCACACGTTTACCTAGCAGTAAGTAGGAACCCGGTTGTTAGTCAATTGGCATCTCAAAGCTTCACGGGATATACTGTGAAGTTAATTGACTGTATATTTTGTGGGCAAAACGTGGCAGCCAATTGGGCAGTGGATTGTCCCATAAACAGTCGTGGATTGAGTGACCAAATTATTATGATTATAATTTCTGTGCCGTGGACCTAGATAACATCGGTAGATAACTGGAGGAGAAAAATAAAGCTTTTTTAAGGCAATTCTGGGCCTGCCCTTCACGGATTGCCTGCATTTGCACATACGTTTGTACAGGGGTGAACACAAGTTGTGATATCTACCCTATTATCTAAAATATATCTTATAATATCATCATTGCTTTAAGACTTATTAGACATTGCAATGGTTTCACGACTTTTTGGTCACCCTGTACAGGGGCGTGTGCGTATATATGTTGTGTGTGTGTGATTGCACAAAAACGTCCACGCGTGTAACACGGAAACCAAGTCCGAAGCTTACATCTTCCAGAAGCCTCCCTTCCACACGGAGCTCCCACGAGGCCACAGTTCCTTCCCCGTCCTCTGCGTCCGCTTTCGGGGGGTTGAACGTGTTGGAAATAAATATTCGAAGCTTTCGCTTTTGCTGGAGAAGTGCAAGGAGATAATAATAATCCTTACATCTGATACAGCGCCTTATCACGTCTTCGAGACGTCTCAAAGCGCTTCACAGGATATACGGTAACATGCAGTGATTTGTGTATTTGGTGGGTGAAAAGCTGCAGTGACTGAAACTGGCTAGTCGGGCTGAATCTCCTATTTCCGAGCAGTGCATCTATAATATTATTATGTATCGTCACTTTCAGCACCAAATAAGATAAATATCCAGATCAAGAAGGAAAACCATAGAATAGAAATTGAGCAAAAGATTGTGAAATTCCCCCTCCCCGGGTACGAATCGGTTTACAAATTGCCAGCTAATCCGAGCAGTACAGTAGGGATGTAAACCCCATTTTTTTTGGAGCCAGGAAGAGAGGAGGATTGCTTGGAAGGTTTATTGAGACTGGGCGGTAAAAGCTTAAGCTCTTGCTAGATGTACGGATGGATCAATGTGTTCTGCGTGTCTGGCGAGTGACTGAATTCACAAGGGGATTGGAGATCAAGGTCAGTGCTTCGAAGTCGGAGAGAATGTAATCACGAAGCTTTGTCACGTTGCTCCTGGAAGCAATTCCTACCTTCGACTACAAAAACCTGTGTTCGAATGCTGGAACCTGCGTGTGGTGTGTGTGGTGTGTCCCTGTCCGTCTGTGTTGGGGTAAAACACTCATTGCTACATTTGTGTTTTGTACAGAGCAGTTTTCAAGCCCAAATTGCCAGCTGTTTGTTTGGTGCCCGTAAATTCCCTTGGTCCTTAACGTGGGCAGAAGAACTGTGTTATCGTGTGATGGGCGCGACACAGCTGCAAGTTGTGGCTGTTGTTGAAAAGGGGGGTGGTGTCGCATTTGAAAGCGTCGCACTCAAAAGAGGATTGCAAAAATAATAATAATTCTTGCATTTGACACAGCTCCTTATCACGTCTTCGAGACGTCTCAAAGCGCTTCACAGAACAGACCGTCAAGCGGATTGACTATGTTTTGCGGGCGAAACGCAGCAGCCAATTGCGCACAGCAGTGTCCCCGAGGTTCTACCTTTATTGGACGCTTCAGTGCTTCCTGAATGTCCAGCCGTTTCCTCATTATAGTCTGATCCAACTTCCTCTCGAACGCTAGCAGATCCATGTAGGCCTGGGATTCCGGTACCAACTCCCGAATCTGGAAGGCATTAGGACCACCAGAAAGGGCATTAACGGACGAGGATTAGGAATCGAGTCGAGATTTCGAGACACAGAGAAAAACATCTTGAAACTGTCTAAATGGGTGAAGAGGTTAACGAAAAGTAAAAAGGGGGGGGGGGTTATGGGATAAGGCAGGGCAGTGAGATCGAAAGAAAAAGAGACAGTTTGCTCTAAGAGTCAGTGTAGACTCGACGGGCCAAATTGTCTCCTTGCGCGCTGGAAATTCCCACGATTGGATCAAGGAAATGGACTGAAGAGAGGAAAGGAAAAGAAGCGTTTTACCCTCTGAGGTAGAATTTTGTCTGCCATCTTCTTTTTCTTGGCGCTGTTCGAGTAACAGAAGAAAATAGAAAATAGGTTACCTCGGCAACTCGTGTCCTTCAAACATTGCAAAACATTCACCACAACCTCTGGGCAGAGAATGCAACCACCGTATGGAATTGCCACATGCGAAATAATACAGTGCACATCTCTCTCTCTGTCTCTCTCTCTCTCTGTCTCTCTCCCTTCACTCCTTCCGATGACTCAGTCGGTAAAGAACTTGTAAATTCAAGACATCTCCCTCCCTCCCTCGCCTCCTTCAAGGCCCGTCTCTCAAGACCCTCCTCTTCGATCGCGCCTTCGGTCACCCTGCTACTCCCATCCTCCCTTGCCCTCCACCAACCCCTCCTGATCCCAACCCCCAGCTCGGATCCAAATCCCTGACTGTCCAGCGCCTTGGGACGTCCTCCTGCCGTGAAAGGCACTGTGTAACTGTCGTGCGTCGTTGTTACGGATCCCTCTGCCATTTTGTGGCCACACTATAGGTGTAGAGACGACCTATTGGCTCGATGTTAAAGCCCTGGCTTGGGGGAATATCTGTACAGGTAAATTCAGCCGCAAATTAAAATGGCTTTGTGGCTGTCGATGGGAGCAGTACTGTGTCCAAGTGCGCTGCCACATGTGTTCTACAAGACACACAACCACTAACGACACTTCACAGGAAAATGCTATGACGGGATGTTCTGATGACTCGAGATGGTTTGACGACTTGATAAGGCGCTACACCAAACGCATCCATTATTATTACTACTACTACTATTATTCCGGCTGTGTTTAACGGGGACGGTTTATTTTTTGGGTCACAGAGACAGAACTTGCCAGATTCCCCTTTGCTTTGCTCTGACCAAAGGAGGGACGCCAAAGCCAGATTGCAGGGTGTGAACGGCAAACAGTTTGGTTGTGGCCAAGCCGCCGCGCCTTCATTTCATCGACAAGGACGATGCCGAACACTCAGGCGCGAATGGAACCAAAGCAGATTCTCGCACTGTGTGCATTTGCTTCAGAGGGTCTGGATTTTACCGTGGTTTTTCACAGCAGCACAAAGCGGGCTGGTTTTATAATAAGCAAAGGACCTGGCCTTGTGGAATATTTCCCAGCCTTGAATGCCCTTTGTGCGAGAGGATTGCTTTTTTTTTTTGAGCGGTGGAGGTGGGTGGGTGGGTGGGTGGGTGGGTGGTGGGCAGAGAGAGAGAGAAGGAAACATTTTTTTTTTTTTAAATTCTTCCAGGACTTTCTATCGAAGAGAATTTAGATCGATTTCTGCTGTTGTAATTGCGCAGATCGACCACCCTTGTAGGTGACAGATGCTGTGCAATTTCAGCAGCAGCTGAAAAGCGTTTCAAGCAAGTAACCTTCACTTCCCTTCCCCGAGACATCTTTCTGCACAGAAATTTTCGAACAAACCTATCACAAACCACCGTTTATGTGGCGCCTATAGAATTGTACAGCACAGAAGGAGGCCATTCGGCTCTTGAAGGAGCTACCCAACTAATCCCACTCACTCCCACCACCCGCGCTCCGCGCTCTCTCCCCATAGCCTTGCAAATTTGTCCTCCCCCGAATATCTATCCACATCTCTCTTGAAAGCTGTTATCGAATCTGCTTCCGCCACCCTGTCAGGTGAAACAATTCTCCTCCCCTCCCCTCTGGTTCTTCTGACAAAAACGTGGGAGGTTTGTGGTCATTTGTACTATTCTTTCTTTGACCCCGTTATGATTTGCCGATCAGCGATTTCGGACTTGGGGAGGCAAGAGGCCCGTCCCCGGAGCACGAACGACATCGAGCTCAGCAGACGCCTGCGGCTCCCTGCGCTGCTTAAGTGGGAATCAGATGGTTCCTCAGAAGGTTCGCGTGCTGCAAATCCGCGCGCGGTTGATTGGGAGCCAGACTGGGACCCGAGGACAGGATCGGACGTACTTGTGGTTGCGGTTCTGAGCTGCTTGCTGCTGCGCTTGTTGTATCTGCTGAGGCGCCGGCCGCTTGCGAGACTGGTCCATCATGGATTGAGGCATGCCGGGCCGTACCGCTGGGCTACCGCCGTAAGAAGGGCCCGGGGGTCCCATGGAAGCCCCCTGAGGTGGCATCCTGCTGCCTGGGGGCATCCCTGGGCGCTGTAGGTGCAAGGCGAGAAAACACAAATGAGTCACGTGACGACAACCACAAGAACACATGACACTTGTACAGCGAGTGCCCTTCACGTCGGAAAGACGTCCCAGGGGCACTGGACGATCAGGGTTTTTTGGACCCGAGCTGGAAGTTGGGGGCTTCAGGAAGGGTGGCTGAAGGCATGGTCGAAGAGGAGGGTCTTTAGACAGGCGTGAAGGAGGCAAGAGAGGAGTGAGGCGGAGAGATTGCAGGATAGATTTCCAGAGTGTGGGGACAGCGATATTGAATGCCCGACCGCCAATGGTGGGGCAGGAAGCGCGTGGCCAGTGTCCGGTCGATGTGGGGTTAGGAGGTGAGAGAGGTGGGGGGGGGGGGGGAGCAAGACCATGGAGGGCTCTGAAGGTGAGAACGAGGGGTTTTGTACTTGATTCTCTGAGGGATGGGGAGCTAGCGAAGCCGTGCAAGAACGGGGGAGAACCCGATTCACAGCGTTTCCTCAAACAGGGTTAGTAAACGTGCTGCCCCATGATGAAAATTCTCGATGAGATTTCGAAAGAGCTGATATCTATAGGGGATGCCGCTGCTGCAGGCAGATGCCGAGAGCTGAAGGAAGACAAGTGTGACTTAACCTGAGAGAACACAGTGATGATTAAAAAGCAGTTGTGGGCCGTTGGAGGCAACATCAAAAAAGGTATAAATACCACAGAAAGCAAGAAAGTGAGGACACCTTGAATATATAAGGATGGCACGCTTTGCCGTGCGTGTGGAGTGCGCGTGTTGTGAGGGGCGTGCGTGTGTGAGGGTGTGCGTGTGAGTGTGTCTGTCTGCGAGTGTATAATTGATGCCATCTAGCATTTACAAATTATTTTATATTAATAGAGCCCTCCTCAATCACGGGGGGGGGGGGGGGGGAGAAACACGTCGAAATAAGCCAATCTGCCCAGATTGGGGAGCTGCCAAGCGTAGGTCGAAAACCCTGTTCCCATTCCCCCCTCCCGACAGTAGCCCACCTGCCTCGCCGCTCACAGAACCTCAGAGAGCGCGAGAGACACAGGAGAATCAGTTACCGTCAGTCAGCCTTTCTCTCTCTCTGCTGTAGAATTTTGCTGCAAGTTATTTCTTCCCACCCCCACACCCACCCCCCACAACCCCCCCAAAAAAATGGAAAAAAAGAAGACATAAAACTCAGGAGATGGAACTATTACGGCCCGTTATTACGAAACGCTTCAAAATCTTCAACCTTAAGGCGAAACCTGCCAGTGCCAAGTGAACAATGTGGGAATGATTTAACCTTAAATTTGATTCCAACCGGCAAGGACGTGAAAAGGAGAAGTCAGCAGTTCTGGCCGGCTTCTGCTGGCTGTCAGCGTAGGAACGAACGAGTGTTTTACCTCACCTCACTACGCCGCCAGCCAACACCTCAACCGGAATCATTTCAGATCCCCGCCAGAGAAAAAGAAAAGCCCCAAATTTTTCTTTTCGTCAAAATCAAACGCAGCGTGGCAATTCGGTTGAGGGTATTAACTGGAAATCAAGCCAACTTGCTTGCTGCATGCGGTCACAGAGTAATTCACCGTGCGTTTGTTCATTCGACACGAGACATAAGATAGCTCGCCGGTCTCTCTCTTTTTTTTTTAAGTTAAGGAGCAAAAAAAAAAAAAAAATCCTCCGGGAAAAAAATGCACAGACGAGGAATAAAAAAATCCTGACTGACTGAGCTCGGAATCACCTCTTTAAAAGCTGTAAAGGATACTGTAAAAAGATTCGAAGGCAACTTACACGCAACCTTCAATCGTGTGTTTAAAGGAAAAGAGCTTTTCTTTTCTTAAGGTCGAGCCCGGCTAAATAAAAGAAAGCTTTTTTTTGGGAGGCGCAAAATATATGCTACGTATATTTTTTTAAGAAAAACACAACATTCTCACTTAAAAAATAAAATCGCACACTTACAAAACCATGAGCGAGAAATTCAAACAGTTTGCTTCTGGTTGTTGACCGCATGCCACGCTTCCCTTTGAGGGAGCTTTTGTTTGTCTGCTCTGCTCCACTTACTGCGTTCGCCTTCAACCAGTGAAGCTTCCACTCCTGTACATCGTACATTTTATTGTGGATAAACACAATCACCTCAACCCTCAATAGCCAAGCCACAAGAGCAGGGAAGGACGAGCGAGAGAGCAAGAGAGAGCGAGAGAGAGAGAGAGAGAGAGAGAAACGTTTCAGCCCGTGGTGCTGTACAATGTGCTTTGTAGCATCACAAAGGAGCGAGTCAGTGGAAGACCTTGTAGTAAGTGGTGTTTCACGTCATCTCTTACATGTCTTTCATCTCCGTGCTTCTCTACTCGCAGGGTCTCAGCTAATTAACATTTTTTTTATTTAAAAAAAAAAGCCTTCCACTTAAAAAGCGCGTGTGTGTGTGTGTGTGTGTGTGTGTGTGGAAAAAAAAAAGCCAAAGCGAAAGCGTTAGCAACGACTGTAGTGAAGGGCATTCAGGAAAGTCCTTGACTTTTGGCACAATAGTTTAATTTGTCACCGTCAAAAGCTAACAGCTTTCATTTACAATCACTGGCACCAGCAAATAATAACTCAAACCTACTCAATCCCTGCACCCACCCACCCACCCTCCTCTTCTCCCCACATTATTCTTTTCCGAGGTTGCAGATGGGACTTATTGCAGGCAGCCCGACGCTTGGGTCTGTAAGAGGCAACGAGCGTTTGCTGCCAATAAAACTCTTTATTGTGCGGATGGCGAGGATTGCAATTTTCCTGAGATGGGGGGAGACGAGGAATGCAATAATCACGGTTTGCAAGGCAGGGAGGGAAGGTGGTGAAATTTTACCACAGCCCCGAAGAAAAGTTGAATTCGGACGGTTCGCACGGAGAGAAGACAAAACAGCTGCAACCACAGCCATTAATTAGCCACACGCCATAAAGTGCCTCAACATACCGTGCTGGTGGGGGGGGGAAGGGGCTCGAGAGAAATTCTCTACAATTAAAGGGGGGGGAAAACCCATTGATTTGAGGTGACCCGCACGCGAAATCAGACCTCGAATGCACAATTAGGTGTTGGAGAAACTACAGCAAATGTTCAGCCTGAGATTGCACTGAAAGAAAATGACATTCTTCGAATCTATCAAAGGGTTTTGTTTCACAGAATCTCAGCAGAATCATAGCATATTACAGCACAGAAGGAGGCCATTTGGCCCATCGTGCCCGCGTCGGCTCTTTGGAAGAGCCACCCAACCAGACCCACTCCCCCGATTCAGGCCGTTTCAGATAACTCAGAGGTCACATTGAAATTTTGGAAGGCGTGAGCAAGCTCGACACGGTAAAGGGAGCAATTTTTAATTTTGGTTCAGGCTATAATGTTTGTGGGGACACTGCTGTGTGCAATTGGCCGTCGCGTTTTGCCCACAAGATATACAGTCAATTCACTTTACAGTCTATTCTGTGAAGCGCTTTGAGACGTCTCGAAGACGCGATAAGGCGCCGCATCAAATGCGTGGATTGTTATTGTTAATATATTATTATAGAGGGCGGTTGGGGTAGAAGTTTCAGCTAAATCTTTTTTGCTGTTCACTTCTTTTTTTTGGAGCCTTCATCTTGTTGAGAACGTACGTACTCAGCTCGTAAAATTGCATTGTTTCTTTGGCCGCGTGTAACGCGGAGCTGCTAAATCAGCTTTCGTTGCTAAAATAATAAAATATAAAAATCAATATGGGGCAATATTGACTGTGGATCTGACTGGCTTGCTGAGATCCAGTGCTAGAATAAATAATAATCCGTACATTTGATACAGCGTATGATCATGTCTTTGAGACGGCTCAAAGCTCTTCACAGAATGTACTGTAGAGTGTGGGCGAAATACACGGTCGGGGATATATAAATGAAGTGATACCACTGGCTTCCCAGCTTTATTTTCACACAGTCAGCTAAAAAAGCTTTTTAGATTACTAAAGTCGATGAAAGAGAAAAGAGTGATGAGAAACACCGCGGAGCATTTATATTTATAGTGCACTTCATGTACAAGAACATCTGGCACAGCGGGATCCAAATTACAGCGTACAACTGATGGGGAAAATAGCTTTTGCTCCATTGACCTTAAATTTCTTAATGGTATCAATTGAGGAAATCAGACAGCTGATGTACAGCTTTTACCGAGAAGGGAGATTAACCAGCGAACTGGCGGCTAACCCCAAGGTAACAACATCCAGAAAATAGCCTTTTCAAGAACAGCGTGGAAAACAATCAAGCTGCCGTTTTGGCAATCAGCAAAGTCCAGCCTTTGCACTTGAGCAAAAACACGATTCCGCCAAAAAATCAATGGGAAAAGTACTTTACTGTCGTCCGTCTGGTCACTAGGATGAAGCAACAAAGCCATCCCCTGAGGGCAATCAATCCCAGGTAAGATTAAAACGGATTGAACATTGGACCAAACACCAACGCAAAGTTAATGAAACATCGCACACAGCAACCACTGAAACATGGACCCGACTCTGTACAGTTTCAGTCAATACTACAAGTCAATTTCTACAATAGGCAAATGCAATTAGTATAACACTAATTTATGCACAATTTACTGTACATCCAACATCGAATATACAGTCAATTCACTTTATGGTATATGCTGTGAAGCGCTTTGAGACGTCTCGAAGACATGAGAAGGCGCTGTATCAAATGCAAGGATTATTATATTAACATATAATTAACCTTAAAAAAAAATTGTCTTTTTCCACATACTAGAGTGGGAACTTTTGCCCTTCTTCATCACAAGACACACTGCCACTCACAACTTTGCAATATATCCCGGGAAGCGCTTTGAGACGTCTCGACAACGTGATAAGGCGCTACATCAAATGCAAGGATTATTAGAACCCAAATCTAGCGGATGCCCTAAATGCAACGAAAGCTCGATAAACACACTGGCTCACTCACGTAGGCAGAAGGTGATGAATTATGAAAAAAGAACCAAGTCAGCTACAAGCCTTTACGCTTCAGGAAAGCCTAAGGGGAGATCTCATTGAGGTTCCCAAGACATACAGGTAAACTGAAGCCGCATAATGCATTTGACACGACCCCTTGACATCAAGGGGCTCGATTCAAGCTCCGAACAATTTGCATCTGCAGAACATCACAGGGCACTTGACAAAGAGGGGGGACACTGAGCACGGAAAGCAGACTTTTACCAAGGAATATAAGAGCATACAGGACTGGAAAAGGTCAACGCGATCTGTCTATCCGTAGGCTTCTCGGCCCCATCCTGCCAATTTTTTGCATTCAAAGAAAGCAAACTCCCAAAGAATTCCAGCCCATCCCGAAACACTGGACAATACACTACCTCACAATCAATACATTTAAAAAAATATCCATGTTATCGGAAGATGTCAGACTGATCATGGCAACGGATCATTATCTGCCATGAATATAATGGCACTCACGCTAACACACACACACACACTCACACCCTAAATCCTCTGGACGTCTAAATACAGTGAAAGACTTGTACTGAATACAATCACATACAACTCCCAAATACAATTATCATCATTCTTCCACATGTTTCAGTTCCCGGAGCGCAGGGGGCTTCCCTCCAGGAATTCCATTCCAACAATCTATCTCTGGAATTTCCACGTGTCGGTGGTATGCATGGAATTCTCAGTTTGGTTCGGGGACTCTGGTCTCCCCCCCCGCCCTGCCCGCCCCACCTCACCCCCTCCCTTGCCTCTTTCAAAGCCCGTCTCTAGACCTTCCTCTTCTACCACCTTTGGTCACCCCCCCCCACTACCCTCCCTCCCTCCTTAAATGCTCATTTCTGTTTCTATGCAACGCTGCTGCCATCTGCTGTCCATCTCTGACAGCTTGGACCGAGCTCCGAGAGTCTGTACACGCAGCAAATATCCGTTGCGGCTTTGAGACTGCAAGACTGACTCGCCATAATCATAAAGAGGGCCAAAAAAAAAAGAAATATTCAACTGGGACGCTTAGTAGGATATCGGTGCAGCAGCAAAACAGCCACACAGAAGTGGTTGCCCAGTAAACACAGCTTCACAATGTGTGTGCTAAATCGGGACACGAAGAGCGGCAACACATTCGTCCCATCACTTCAAAATCCCTCGGCTGAACCATCTGCTGGCAACTCAAGGCCAGTTAGGGTTCGCGTTAGAGAACTGCACTTGTGTTTAAATACAGTAGAATGTCACCTATCCACATGCCAACCAACAATCCACATATCCACCAGCTCCCGCTCACCGACCCCCCCCCCCCCCCCACCCCACCCTCCCCATTTCCGTCTCTGTAAAGCACTCGGAGGCATTCAACTGTGTGAAAGGCGCTAATGCACGTGCAAGTTGTGATCTGGAACGCAGATCACGATGGAAGACGGGCGAATGACTGCTGATGATTGGAACGCTCTCCCATGTCAGAGCCTCACACAGCATCAGCAGCCAAACGAGCCAAATGCAACAACAACAACTTGCACTTATATAGCGCCCCCCCCACCACGCAGGGTAGAGCCTCAGAGCGCTTAAATGCAGAGCGAAGCTTCCCTCTGCCCTGTCCAACTTCACCCCATTGTGCCACTCTCCATTTCTCACACTACCCTCCCTCCCCTCCTCCTCAGGCTCTCTCTGCAACACTGCAAATTACAGCCAGCTCTGCAATAATAATAATAAAAATAATCCTTGCATTTGATATAGCGCCTTATCACGTTCTTCGAGAGACCGTATCTAACAGTAAGTGGGTTGAGACTATAAATATATCTCCCCCCACCACGCCACCTCTCTCACTCCCCCCCGTATAGCCCTTCAGGCCAGAAAGGTAGGCATTTAATACATTACTCCAAGGCAACAACAACAAATTACATTTGTAAATAGCAATTGGACTGAAATGACCAATTTATTATGATTTTCTTTTACTTGAGGGTTTATCATCAGGCGGGTGGGAGTAAGGAAACTTGCTCAAGGTGTCGCCCTGACCTACCGGGAATCGAACCCAGGTCTCTCGCTCGCGAGGCGAGTGCTCTAACCACTGAGCTACAGGACAGGATCAACCCGGGTTTTGGAGGTGAAATCAAAACATGTTGGGTTAAGTCACCTACCACCCCTCCCATGTCTCTTGGTTTCAAAGAAATCAACCACAGAAGCCATTTTGCTACCACACCCTGTCCGAGGCTAGCTCCCCCAGTGGAGCTCTCTCCTCTCATCCTTAATAGAACTGTTTTTTTTCTCTCTCTCCCTCCCTCCCCCTTCCTTACCTTTTCTATACCCTGTATATATTTTGCATAACATACTCTTCAAAAATCATCGTAATGCCTTCAAAAAAAAACGCAAACCCGTCCACAAACTTCCAAAAGCGACTTGTTCTTGGCCAAAAATCAGATCAAGTTTGAAAAATCCACCAGTTCCAATTGACAGAACTCGGAACTTATCAAACCGCCTTGACAGCCAGACAGTCGTAAAACATAAAATAAATTAAAAACTCTAACTTTCCCAAGCCTGAGGTGATTAGATGTTTGTCAGGTCAGGGTATTAAAGGGATATGGGGCAAAGGTGGGGTAATTGGAGTGGAGGCACAGATCAGCCATGATCTAACAGCATGGCGGAACAGGCTTGAGGGGCTTGAATGGCCTCCGCCTGTTCCTATATGTATATGCATATATATATATATATGGATACAACCGATATATAAAGCAAAACTGGAACTTGGACAGACCACGATGCAGTTAAACACCGACTGCCAAAACAGCAGACGTCCAGATTCTCAACAAACAAAAACTAGTTGTGAAGAGTAACGCTCTAAATGAGCGTCAGCCATTCGTACGGCTTGCCACATCCAGTGCGAGGACAAAATCCCTCCCTCCCCTCTCCCCCGCGTAAACCAGGCCAAGGATACCCAGCAGGCACACGGGGCGAGGATAGATTTACGAGGGTGTTTTTTTTTTTGACGCCGCCGTCCACGGAGGGAAAAAACCACCGAGTGCATTTGAAAGCTGCAACCAAACGACACAGCCGCGCACTCGGGCTTCCTTTACGCCTCGAAGGATAAATACGTCGCGAGCGCTACAAATAATGAAGTCAGACGGGACGATAGATAAACGAACAGGACAAGATAAATCAGTGACCGTACAGTGGGAAGTGAACACAGAAAAATGTCACCGACATACGGGTTGGGAACCGCGACAAAAGTTACTTCTCTCTCTGTCACTTTTCCTTCTGACCTCAATAACACGTAGATATATATGACACACACATATATATTCCCCCCCCCCCATGATTTATTCTCCCAGCATTTTCGGCTCTTATTTCAGATTTTCCAGCGTTCCACCCCCTCCGCTGATATCTTTCTTTGTACGAAATATAACACATATATATATCAGTTGCACTCCCCCCCCCCCCCCCCGCCACATGTCCATATGACGCCTGACACCCGGGGGAGAGAGAGAGAGCGAGAGAGAGAGGGGGGGGGGGGTCGCTACCCCAGGGAGATATTTGGCCTGTTGTGAGGGGGGTGGGGGGGGGAGGGGTGACGGGGAGGGGGGGGGGGGGTGGAAGGAGGGAATGGGGTGGGAGGAATGGGGTAGATGGGGGGAATGGGGTGGAAGGGAAGGGGGGGAAAGTTTTGAATTACTTTTTCTCTCTCCCTCTCCCTCCCCCCCCTCTCTCTCTCTCTCTCACTCACTCACTCCATCCCTCCCTCTCCCTCCCCCCCCCCAACTATTCCCATCTTCCCGCCCCCGCGCTTCTCTCTCTCTCCCCCCCCCCACCGCCCAGGCCCAGGCCTCCCCCACACCAGCCTCTCCCCTCCTCCTCCTCTTCCCTCCCAGACCCCCGGTCTCTCTCTCTCTCTCTCTCCCCCGATCACACGCTCCCTCTCTCTCTCTCCCTCCCTCTCCCCCCCCCCCCCGCCCCCCACACTTACCGGGTAGCCCTGGCCGGGGGGCGCGGGCCGGTACAGCCCCTGCTGCTGACTGGGGGCCACCCTGACGGGGGGCGGCGCCCCGGGCCCCGCGCTCATTGTTTGAAAACCTCGAGCCGCCATCTTCAGCCGCACCGGAAACGCCGCTTCCACTTCCGGCGCCGGCCCGGCTGCGCGGCGGGAAGACGGGGAAGCCACGCCCCCCAGGCCACAGCCCCGCCCCCCAGGCCACAGCCCCGCCCCCTCCAGGCTACAGCCCCGCCCCCCCAGGGCACAGTCCCGCCCCTCCAGGACACAGCCCCGCCCCCCAGGTCACAGCCCCGCCCCCAGGACACAGCCCCGCCCCCCAAGGCCAAAGCCCCGCCCCCAGGACACAGCCCCGCCCCCCAGGCCACAGCTCCGCCCCCAGGACACAGCCCCACAGTCCCAAACCAATTACGAAACCAATCACGAGCGCTCACTGACCCGGAGAAGGTTTGGGATTATTGCTGTTCTCCTACAACAACCGTAAACCGGAGCTGAGGGAGAATCCGTCGGTCCTTAACCTTTATCAGATCAACGCTCCCCCCGTGTTCACCGTCCGCCTATTTCGTCCCTTTTCTCCCCGTTTCTTCCCCGTTTTCCTGTGCGCCGGGAGCTCCTTCTTTTGGCTCTTTTTTTAATCGCGGTCTTTCTCATCCACATTCGCGTCTGCCTTCCGCCTGGAAAATGTTCCTTCGGATTAATAGGTCGCCCGCCTCTCACTGTAATTGTTGTTACGACAATTATTCAGAGAGAAACCCCCTTCTCCTTTTTCCCCAGTAGCCTCGCGGGATCTTTAACATCCATGGAGGAGTGTCATGGGCATATTTTTTTTGGTGGGGGTGGGTGGGGGGAGAGTGAGGTTTAACGTCCCATCCAACGAGGCACCTCAGTGAATTTAGCGCTCGCACCTCGGGTCCCCAACAGCTGACCTGTGGTCGGACAGGGTTCGATTTGCTGGTGGATTAGGCGGATGAATAATTCAAGATTTAAATATGGGTTTAAATAATGTAATTAGCTCATTAATTCCGCCCGTTCAATGCTGAGTTTCACCATCAACGGTCGTGTTCGAATCCCCTCGCTCGCTGGCACCTGCCTTCCCCTCCGACCTCCTCAATCCTCGATCCCATCACACTGGCTCCTCCGCTGGTCCCTCGCCCCCTCCGCTCCACCGTTGCAGGTGGTGCAATTCACATGAATGGAGGGTAATTAAGTGAATGGAGGGGGAGAGGAGCAGTGATTAGAGGAGTTATGGAAGCTCACTTGGAGCGGGAACATCAGCCTTGACAGCGTTGGGTTGAATGGGCTGTTTCTGGGCTATAATGATCCAATTAAGAAGATTTCTTGATTGGGCAGAGAGGCGGCAAATGGAATTCAATGCGGACAAATGTGCAGTTAGACTTTTTGGGAGGTAGAAAGATATTAAATGGTGGCGGGGGGGGTAAATGTACCTGAATCCTTGAAGGTGGAAAGGCAGGTGGACAGAGCTGTCAAAAAAAGCTAATGGAATCTTAAGATTCTATAAATATAATTATCTATATACTAATAAAGACAAAATGACTGTGTCTCTCTGTCCACCAATAGCGCAATAACCATGATTTATACCATATCATCGGCAAGGTCTTGCATGGAGGAGTGTCATGGGCATATTTTTTTTGGTGGTGGTGGGGGGCAAACAATGGTTACATAAATTATAATACAATACAAAGCATAATAATACTGAAATCTACATTCCACATTGGATGCTTTGGTCGCGAGCGTAACCGGTAGAATATCAAAGCGAAGAGACAGTGCTGAACTTATACAAATTGTTAGTTAGGACCCGCAGTTGGAATATGGTATCCGGTATTGGTTACCCAACTTTAGGAACGATGTCAAGGCATCAGGACAGCTGGATAATACGCACACGGTGGTGGGGGTGGGGGAGGTTTGGAGTCTGTGTTACAACGGTATATTATGATATATATTTATTAATATCAGAAGTAACAAAGGGCATCTTTATGGCAGGTACATGACTTGAAAATTTCTGTGCCTCACACGAAGCCATGACACCTGTGGTTTCACAGCCCGGAACATTAGATCGCCGTCCTGGATGTCCGGATCCGTTTCCTCGGGGGATTAAAAACGATTCCCCTCGTCAACCTGACGTCCGCACTTCCGCTCGGTCACGTCTGTTCCTCCGCCCTGACCGAAGGTGACTGGAACAGGCCCGAATGACGTACAATTCCCGCTCTGCGCCTCGCAGAAGAACAGCGGCTGTCTCGGTTTGCGCGCGTGTTGGGTTTCCGTTCCCCCTTTTCGATCGAGGCACGAAGTTGAAGGTCCGACCAGCAGTGGCGAGAAAATCCTTGGCGTCGGGACATCTTCAAAACCCCGGTGCCCTCTGCGTCTGACGCGGCGGGGGTAGGGGTGGGGGAAACCTAAACGATCGGGCTTCTCTGGTTTAACAAGTAGCGCCGTAGGAGGCAAATCAAACGTTGGGGCATCAAAGTGTTTCTTCCGATCTTGTAAAATGTCACAGTAACAGCATCGAAGGCCAAGAGGGTGGGAATCTCCAATGAATTCTCATGTCCCGATGGTCACACACGCTACCATCCCGTACCCTTGTGCTTTTTTCTTTAATATGAATAAAACGTGTACATAGTACATATATTCTCCGTGTTAAAAGGCTAATAAATGTTCTCGCTGTTCGTTTATAGTACAATTTGAAGGCAGTCTCGCTTCAGGAACAAAGGATGACACGACTGCTTCTGCTCTACTCTAATGGGTTACCATATATAATGCAACATCAAGCCGGGCGGGTAAAAATGCAAGGCAAACACTCTGTTTCCTGGTTGTGTTGTTGTTGTTGTTGTTGTTGTTGCTGTTGTTGTTGTTGACGATGGCGGGGATTTGAAATCAATGGGAAATTTCACGCAGGCGAAAGGAGACCTCTTTCTACCTCTGTGACCTGCTGACACCCCCCCCCCCCCCTCCTCCTCCCTCCCCATATCCACCTGTCCGCTCTCGCTCCGCTCAGCGGGCTCCGGCCTGCCCCACCATCGGCGGTCAGGCCTTCAGCCTCTCTGCCCCCACATCCCTACAGTCCCTTCACCTCACCCCAATCCCTCCCTTGGCTCCTTCAAGGCACATTTCAAGACCATCCTCTTCGACCAACTGCGCCATCGGTCACTCTCCTACCCCCAACCTCCCCGCCCTCCAACCCCTCCTGATCCCAACACCCAGCTTGGGTCCAAATTCCTGACTGTCCAGGGCCTTGGGAGGTCTTCCCGATGTGAAGGGCTGTCATGTCTTGTTGTTCTTCCTTCCGCTCCCTTGCAATAATCCTAACCAGAAAACCTGCTTCCCCACCCCGTGGCCTCTGCCATGCACGACCTCTGACCCACACAGACCCTAAACCCCATAAAGGCACCCTATGACCCCTGACCCCCACCCTCCCAATAAACTGTTTGATAAGTCTCTTATTCCTTTGTTTTTATGAAGGTCTGACAACGGCTTTAGAGCAAACAATCCTCAACAACAATCGGAGTAAAGGGGCAAAATTCTGTGACAAAACTCAACGACATTGAAACCACCCCCACCCCATCTCTACCCCACCTTCCCCCCCCCCCACCACCATCCCCCCCCTAACTTTGACACAACGGGAGGACCTGAAGCCAACTCAAGGCTTCTAGCCGGCCACCACTGTCGTTCTTACCAATTGCAAAGCCGGTGCCATTTTTATTGGCGGGCAGTTAAGCATTTGGATTTCCATCTTGCTTAGCGACGTCTTGGTTTGGGGAATGGATGGGTCCATCTGAAAACACCAACAAGTTAGCGTTTGGCACAGCGTGGCTCAACGGGGGGAAAATTCACTTCTCTTTGAGATGTTATTCAGAAGATCCAATTGAGTCGCTCTCTCTCTCTCTTTGTCTCTCGCGCTCGCTCTCTGGTCAGGAAAGTGTCCCGCATGACGTCAGTCTTGGCGTCTCTCTCAAATTGGGACACTAAGTTTCGAACCCCGACGTGAATAAAGGCCCATGTGAAGGTCTTTCCTCTTCCTGGCATTAGAGTTTCAATCTCGCACAGTGCGTATAAGTAGAAGGTTATAGTACAGTATCTCCGGTGAATAGACGCCAAAGCAACATTTAAAAAAAACACACACAATAAAGTAGATTGGTCAACCCATCCCTTGGTGTAGCTCCAGTCACCTTATGTTTAGCTACTGAATTACAGGGAGAGGGTTGGAGCCTACATTCAGAACAGTTTGACTCAGTTCCCCCCCGTTTCGGAGGTCAGAAGGGCTTGGCAAAGTTTGTATCGTAAGTAAAGGCTTGTGTGTGTGGGGGCAAAGTGGGGTGTGGGGGTGTGGGGGCGCGGGGGGGGGCATTATTCCACAGTTTTGCCTTAAAAATGAAGAATTGTGGATTATAAATTCCTCAATTCACTTCCGCCCACACGACACACAGTCACTACACTTTACAGTGTGCCCTGTGAAGCGCTTTGGGACGTCTCCACGACGAGATAAGGTGCTGTACCAAATGCGAGGGTTAGTATTAAAATTATTATTATTATTATTATTATCATTTGGAACAAGTTCTTGGAATCAGGACACTGATAAAAATAATAATACGAATCCTGACGCAGCGCCTCATCACGTCTTCAAGACGTCTCAAAGCGCTTCACAGGATACACTGTAAAGTGGAGTGACTGTGTATTTTGTGGGCGAAACATGGCAGCCAATTCACTGCGCACAGCGACGTCCCATCTGATCTCTTGGAAGGAACCATCTAAAACTACAAGCTTCTCATCAAAAAGACGGAGAAGGGGGTAGAAACTCGGGGGGTGGGGGTGGGGGGGTGGAGGTGGGAATAGGCTGTTATTAACCCCGGGAACAGGAAGGGTGGTTGAAGCCAGGGGTTCAATGAACGCAACAGCTGGACGCTATGAAGGTTGGGTGGGGCGGGGTGGGGGAGTCTTTGGGGGGTGGGGGGTGTGGGGTGATAGTAGGGGCTGGTGTTTTGGAAGGGTGAGGTGCGATGGGCGGAAACAAACACTTTCTTCACCCAAAACGATGTTGGGGTCTCGAGAACCGGGATAGCTGCCCCAAACGATGGGCAATTTGATGGGTCTCTCTCTCTGCACTCAACGCCCACTCTGAAACCGCTTCCGAAGGCTCCTTGATCCTTCCCGCCTTCTGCGTTTCTCCACGGGGAACGATTCAGACACACGGGGGGAGAGAGAGAGAGAGAGAGAGAGAGAGAGAGAGAGAGAGAGGGGGGAGAAGGGGGAGAGGAGAGAGAGAGAGAGAGAGAGTGTGTGGGGGGTGAGGGGGTGATTTGTTACCAGTCTAGATGGCTTTGAGTCCCTGGTTGTTCAGTCATGTTAAGACCATTTTCTTGAAGGCTGTAAAATATTCTGATTATTTTTTATAACCCTCCCCCACCCCCCAACCCCCACCTTCAGAATAACACCAACAAAAAGGGGCTCACGCCCACAATCAAATTTCCGCCCCCTCCCCCCTCCTCCCCCCGCCGGGCGAGACGGACTATTATTAACCGTCGCTCCAACACGTGTGGCTTTAACGTTTGGCCCACAAAACGCGCAGTCACTACACTTTACGGGGGATCCTGTGAAGCGCTTCGAGAGTCTCAAAGACGTGATAAGGCGCCGGGTCAAATGCCGGGATTATTGTCATTAATAAAGGGGGGAAGAGGGGGAGAATCATGGAATATTACAGCACAGAAGGAGGTCATTCGGCGCATCGCCGCCCATTCTGTCCCATTCCCCCCCACCACACCCCCCCCCCCTCCCGCCGCCCACTGCCCCCGCTCTTACCCCATATCTTCCCAATTTTTTTCCTCTTCAAACACCTCTTCCGATTCCCTTTGGAAAGTTGTTATTGAATGGGTTTCCAACTTCCCGTTTCAGGCTATGGGTTCCAGACCGTAACAGGTCAAAGCGATGGGGGCCCCAAAGTAAACCAAAAACGGGTGGAAACGAGATAAAAAAAAAGCCAAAATATAACTTCCCCCCTTTTTTTGGGATGTCAAACGATGAGCTCGGATGAGAGAGAGAGAGAGAGAGAGAGAAAGAGAGAGAGAGAAAGAGAGAGAGGGACGGAGGAGGAGAGAGAGAGAGAGACGGGGAGAGGGAGAGAGGATTCCTAGCATTTCGTTTCGCTCAAAGTTAGCGTGAATGGCGAGCGTTTCCTGAAGGTCTCAACCCCTGAAGCCGCCATTTTGTTTCTTCATTTGGTTGGATCGTGGACTGTTCGGCTCCCAATTGGGTCATCGGATGGCGTGGCAGGCGTCCTCTCGAGGGGTTGGTTTGAAATGGCTTTCAAGCACTCATCCCCCCACCCCGAGCGCTTTGTGGGGGAGAGGTGTGGGAGGGTGGGGGGGGGGTGAGGGGGGAGAGGTGTGGGGTGAGGTCTACACTCAACTCTCCTTCATTTATTCATTCATTCATTTTCTTTTTTGTTTTCCTTCCTTCCTCCCTCCCCTCTCGCTGGTTGACCGGTGAGATAAGTGTGTGGTTGTGGCGGCTCTGACTGTGAAGTCACCGCCATCAGCAGGTGAAGTCCTCAAAAGTGTTGCGAGGCGGGTGATGAGGTAGCATGTTGGCTGTGTAGGACATGCCGGTGGGATGTCCTCTCAGGCTCTCGCACGGATTCTACGGAAACACACACAACACACACACAACAGCCCGTCAACCTTAGCTCTCGTCACCATCGGGCCTCAGCCTCTCTGCTCCCCACCCCACCCTTTGGAACTCAATCTCTCCGCCTCACCCTCTCTCCCTCCCTCCCTCCTTCCCTCCAAGCCCTTGCTCCCCCCCCCCCCCCCCACCCCTACCTCCTAACCCCTCTACCAACTTGTCCGCTCCCTCCGCTCGGCGGGCTCCGGGCCAGCTCCACGTCCCCCAGCCCAGCCCTGCCCGCCCCACCCCAGACACGATGGGGAGAGAGAGAGAGAGAGAGAGAGAGAGAGAGCGAGATAGAGAGAGAGCAGGGGAATGGGGAAGAGAATGAGGAGGAGGGAGAACGGAGATGGGTACTTGCATGGCGTTTGATGTCGTCCAGGCTCAGTGTGACCCCTTTGTCGTTGTTGTTTCGTTTCTGTTGCTTTCCCATTCGCAAAACCCCGCACATCTTGTGCTTTAGCACCTGTCGGTCAAACACGAGGGGCGGGTCAGCCCTCACCTCGCAGCCCAAGACCCTCACCTCCCCTCTCTTCCCGGCTCAACTGGTTCTTGTCCACCGTCGGAGGCCGCACTCTCAGAAACTCCATCGCTCTCTCCCTCAATCCCTCCCCCCTCACCCTCTTCCTGCCCCATCTTCAAGTCGTGCCTGAAGACCTTCCTCTTCGAATGTGGTTACGGTCACCTCCCCCCCACCTTCCTCGCTCCCTCCCTCCCTCCTCCTGGCTTGGCCTTGTGGCTCCGCCATTGTTAAGCGCCATTGTCAACATCCAATTCGTGCCCGTTCTTACCTCCCACCGGCTCCACGAAGCCTTACCTCGTAAACGTAGTCAAAGAGTTCGAGGATGGTCAGTAGGCTGGCCCCGATGAACAGACCCATTTGCCCCCCGATGTCACCTTGGAGCAGAAAGCAATTTGGGTTTCGGGAGTTGGAGAGAAACACCATTAACCCCCCCCCCCACAGGTGTGAACTCACACCCACTCCCTCACACACAAGACGCAAGGCTAGACTTAACCGGGGGCAGTCTGGTCACTGAACCCTCAGAGTCTCCTTGTCTTTTAAGAGGGAGCTTGATGTGTCCAGAAGGGAGAGGGGGATAAAGGGTTCAGGAGGTGAAAAGAGGGGTTTAGGAGGGGGGAATAGAGGGCTGTGGGAGAGGGAAATGGAGGGGTTTAGGAGGGGTGAATAGAGGGGTGTGGGAGAGGCGGATAGCGTGTGTTACGGTCAGCTCCCCCATGTGAAGCCCTCCTGACATTTTTAGATGACAGCCATAATCCCGCAGCCTCCGATGGACAAGCTCTTGCCGGGGTCTGAGCTCGTTTACCTCATTAGCAACGAGAACCGAGCAACATCTTGACTTGGTGAAACGCGACCGCCAGCGAGAGAGCGAGAGAGTGAGAGCGAGAGAGAGAGAGAGAGAGAGAGAGAGAGCGCGAATCCTGGTTATTTCTGGGGCCATCGTTACGAGAGGCGAGAGCAATTGCAGGAACAGATTCGTGCCTCCGTTATCAATTGCTCCGCGCCAATCTGTCGCGCTCAGCCTCGGCAGCACGGGAGGAGGCCATTCGGCCCATCGTGCCCTGCGCCGGCTCTTTGGATCAGCTACACATGATTTACGTCCAACTTATTCCAGTAATAATAGGATATTCAGCGGGACTTTGGGGCCGGGAGATCGGGGCACAACTCAGGACGTTGTACGATGAGTCTTAACCTTGTCGGAGAAAAGAAAAGAAGCGAATTAGCCGAGAGACCGGAACGAGAAACTCCAAGCTCACCTAACAGCCCGGCCACTTCGTAAGCTTTTTTCTGTTCGATGGTCTCGTAGTTCAAAGCCTCGAAGAAAATATCCAGCACCAAAATATTCTCCCTGACGCCGAGGAAATAAGAAGTCACGTCAACTCGGGTGGGTGCGACTGACTGACAATCGGACGGTGATCGGTCCAGCGTCTCCTCGTCGCAAACCGTCCTCGCTCCAACACACACTCGCGCCGCCAAAGGCTCGCTCACAGGTTGCTCTGCATTCCCTTGAATTCACGTCCTCCGCCCCGCCTTGCCCTCCCCGCCTTCAGCCTCTCTGCCCCCACCGTCTAGAACTCCATCTCACCATCCCTCTGACTCGCTCCCCCCCCACTCCCATTCCTTGCCTCGTTCAAGACCCTCCTCTTCGACCGTGCCTCCGGTCACCCCCTCCTACCCCCGCTCTCCCCGCCCTCCTGATCCCAACCATCGAGCTCTTCGGGACGCTACCCTACGTGAGGGGCGCTGTTGTTGTGGTTGGGGGAGAGAGAGAGAGAGAGAGAGAGAGATTGAGGTACTCACCCAATATAATCTTCAGACTTGTTGTATTTCTTGGCCAGGTATTTAGCTGAGGCTTTGCTGGGGATCTTGACCATGGACAGTTCTTTGCCGTATCTCGTCATATTGCAGGGTGTCTCGCACGTGCAGAAGACACTGTCCTTCTCCACCAGGAAATCTGTGCGTGATAGTGACACACACAAAACCCAGTGACACACACACACACACAGCGATTGGCAACTGAGATACCAGGATGGGTGTGAGCGGATGAAAAAGGGAGCGGGGAGGTGGGTGGTGGGTGGTGGGTGGGGGGGGCGAGTGGTGACTAGTTGGTGGCTCTTCCAAAGAGCAGCACAGCCCCGATGGGCCTAATGGCCTCCTTCTGTGCTGTAAGATTCCAGGTGACATTAGGCGAACCTATAACCTCTCTTTGTTCCCCCAAGGAATTTCCTTGGTGTTTAGGGATTTTCCGCCTGGAACCTACCCCCATTTACCCGGTCGATGTCCCATTTTTTGGGGAGTGTCCAAAATGTAGCCCATTCGGCCTTAATCTTGACAACAGCTTCTCTGCTCGTTCCCTTAAGAAACCGACGAAGGGGTGGGGGGGGGGGGAATGACTTTGGAGTATAGACTGAACCCCAGCCGTTTGCTAGACGGTAAGTCCACTTCCTGCCACCAGCGCTGACTTCCTTTTGCCTGCAACCTGACCCTCCGGAAGTGAAAGGGACGGCAAATTTGTATTTTGCCGTCAAGTGGGCTGCCCATTCCTATTGGCTCCAACGGGGCTATAGGGCGGTGAAACTCAACCTGACTAACTCAAGATGTCCTCTTACCAAGGGCTGGGTCTGCACACTCCTTATACTGTTCCGGCGTACAATACGGAGCATCACCTAAAGAAGCCAAGACAGAGACAGTCAGGACGAGGGTCTTAATATCTCCCGGTGGTCAAGGGCCCACCCCGCCTCGCAAGCGAGAGCACCCGGGTTCGATTCCCGGGCGGGTCAGGTCCGGGCGAGACCCTTAGTCAAGTTTTCCTAGATTTTTATTAACTCAGGGGTATGGAGGCGGTTAATTTGGAGTTGAGGTACAGATCTATACAGATATATAAAGCCTAAATAATGTAGACTGACATCGCCTGCCTTGTTTTACTTGCTCAGCCTCTCCTCGATAGACGATCACAACAATAGTAATAATCCTGGCATTTCATACAGCGCCTCATCACGTCTTCGAGAGGTCCCACAGCGCTTCGCGGGACACACTGTAAAGTGCAGTGACTGTGTATATTGTGGGTCAAACACGGCAGCCAATTGCGCCCGGCGACGTCCCCACAGACAGTCGTAGTCGAGCGATTGAGCAAATTTATTTGGGGGATTTATAACAATAATAATAATAATAATCGATTGTCGGCCAGGAGACGGGGGAGAGAGAGAGAGAGAAACCTAATTGTCATTCATTATTACTAATTGTTACTAATTATTGTTAATTGTGACTCAGTTCTGTGAGTGATTACCTGGCATGTGCACCATCCGGCAGTTACAGTTCTCCACCAGATACCGGGTCTCACAGTCGATCCTGCAAGCAGTGATGCTGTACGTGTCAAAGAAGTCCGAGTCCATTGGCGTGGACTTGCAATCACCCCAAGGTGGGGGCAGGTATCTCAGCTGAGAGTGGGGTGGGAGGGGAGGGGGTGGGGGTGGGAGACGAGGAGGAAACGACAGAGATCTGTCAATAAAATGCCTCGTAATTCCCTTAGTGATTCCCTATGTCAGACACCAACCCCCGCACGCCCCCCCCCACCCCACCCTTCACCCCGGCTGACCAGAGAGAAAAAAAAAATCCAGCTCTTTCCGCGTCCCGACCTTCCCGCCCCACGTTCCCGGGAGGAAGGATTCTTCCTGAGTCCCCGGAGTCTCGGGGTCGCGCCTGCCCTTACCCGCTGCTCCTGACAGGCAACGAAGGTCTGGAAGCCGGGAGGAACACCGAAGCCCAGCTGGTCGATGAAAGGCGGCTCACTCTGACTGTGGATCTGCACCTTGATTCCCGCCTCGAAGGAGGTCTCGTCTGTGGGAAGAACAGGGACGTCAGCCTGACTCAGCCCCTCACTCGCTGTCTCTCTCGCGCGCTCTCTCTCTCTCTCTCTCTCTCTCTCTCACTCTCCCGCCCTCGCCTCTGGGTGGGTCAGCTCCTTGGGACGTCCTCCCGACGTGAGAGGCGCTTTACGAATGCTGTTGTTGTTCGGACGGAGTTTCTCTCAATGGCTATCACTCTACACCAGTTGCTCTTGCTCTCATTCTCTCTCTCTCATCTCTCTCTCTCTTTCTCTCTCCCTCTCCAACAAGCCAAAGCCCCGATGGGTGGGGTGGCCCAGGCTGTGTGCTTTTCTTGAGCTGGGTTGACTTCAACAATTACCCCAACGTACACTCTGGGCTCCCCCCCCACACACCCCCCACCCACCACCTCCAAAAGCCTTGGCTGGTTTGGTTTGCGTGGGGTTGGTTTGGCTGCTCTTAAGCACAGTGACCTCGGAGCGCCGACTATCATCATTATTATCATTTGTATTCGACAACGGCGCCCGATCGCGTCTTCCGAGACGTCTCGAAGCGCTTCGCCGAGTGTCTGCGCGCGCGCGCGTGTGTACGTCTGTGGAGTCTTACCTAAGGTTTCGCCCTGACCTGCCCCGTCCGGGAATCGAACCCGGGTCCCTCTGGCTTGCGAGGCGAGCGCAGATGTGATCTGCAGACGCGCAGGGCGTCGCGCATCTGCTATGTTTGCAAAACACTTCGAAGGAGAAGCTGACGTGTTGGCCCCCAGACCAGGAGAAAAAGAAATAACAAAATAAATTTCATAATTTCAAACTCCGCTCACACCCACACCGCCGGCCCGTACGCAAATCCCGCTGTGAGCTGCCGATTAATTATAGGCCAGGCTTTCACGTCACTGTTAAATAATAATAGTTTCAGGCGACGAGATGAGAGGATGTGAGAGCTAATGCGATGTTCATCTCTTGCCAATTTCAATGCCCGGGAGAGCGCGAGAGAGAGAGAGAGAGAGAGCGAGAGAGAGCGCGCGAGAGAGAGAGAGAGAGAAAGAGAGAGAGAAACACTCGCACATAACTAAACGAGACGAGGCAAAGATTGTGAGGGTTTTCATAGCGTTTGCGAAGGCGAGTGATGTCTGGAATCTGCCGTCGCCATCCGCCGTGATCACGAGGCAACGCATTCCCTGGAATTGCTTTAAATACTAATGATGATGATGATAATAATAATAATAATCCTCGCATTTGATACAGTGCCTCGTCACGCCTTCGAGAACGCCTCAAAGCGCTTCACGGGATGTCCTGCGAAGTGTAGCGACTGCGTGTTTTGCGGGTGAAAGGCGGCGGCCGATCGCGCCCGGCGACGTCCCCACAAACAGTCGTGGGTTGAGTGACCACATTATTATTATTATTATTTGAAAGGGATTATTACCCCCGGAAAAGCGATCCGCAGATCGACTAACAACTCGAGTTCCTACTGACTGCCGGTAAACAAAGACGTGTGTGTGCGTGTGTGTGTGCGTGTGTGTGTGCATGTGTGTGTGTGTGTGTGTGGGGGGGGGGGGGGGGGGAGTAAGGAAACTTGCCCAACATTTCGCCCCGAATTGTCAAGAGCTTTGGTACATCCCCTCCGCTGTGAGAGACCCTGTGTAAGTCCCGATTATATCGTATATTATGCCTTTAAGACGTACACTTCAGTGTGTCAGCCTTGGCTCAGACGGTACCACTCTCCCCTCCGAATCCAAAATAATAGTGGGTTCAATCCCCAGGTCAGGGCTTGAGTTCGCACACAGTCACAGTCCAATAATAATAACCTTGCATTTGACACGGCGCCTTACCACGTCTTCGAGACGTCTCAGGGAATCGGGAGTGGCCGGCAAGGGGGGATAACACGAAGGGGATAACAACAGAATAATATTCCTTCAGTTCGATGGAGTCAGAGACTATAATGTCCAAACAGTTGAAGGATAATTGCCGTCTGTTTGTGGGCAAATGCAGCAGCCAATTTGCGAACAACATGGTCTCGCGCACAGCCAAAGGGGATGTACGTTGTCACATCAGGTTCCCATCACGGAACACCGCGCCGGGTCCCGCTGAGCGGTACAAGCCAAGAAAGCCGACGGCCAAATTTAACCGCAGCAATAACCCTCGCGTCTCGAAGCGCTTCGCGCGGCACGGGCCGTAAAGTGCAGCGACTGACTGCGTATTTTGCGGGCGAAACGCGGCAGCCGGTCGCGCCCAGCGGCGTTCCCCCGCAGACAAGTCGTGGATTGAGTGGCGGAATCATTATTATTATTTTTTTTTGGAGGGACTATTACCCCACACACCCCCCCCTACCCCGGAAAAGCCATCCGCCAATCGACTAACAAGCGGGTTCCTGCTGGGTAAACAGAGGCGTGTGTGAGTGCGCGTGTGGCTGTGCGTGCGGGGAGTAAGGAAACTTTGCTGAAGGTTTCGCCCTGACTCGACCCGCCCGGGAATCGACCCGGGTCCTCTGGCTTGCGAGGCGAGGGGTCCAACCCCTGAGCTACAGGGGCTGTGGGGTGCGAGGCGAGGGGTCTAACCCCTGAGCTACGGGGATGTGGCTTGTGAGGCGAGGGGTCTAACCCCTGAGCTACAGGGGCTGTGGGGTGCGAGGCGAGGGGTCTAACCCCTGAGCTACAGGGGCTGTGGGGTGCGAGGCGAGGGGTCTAACCCCTGAGCTACGGGGGCTGTGGGGTGCGAGGCGAGGGGTCTAACCCCTGAGCTACAGGGGCTGTGGGGTGCGAGGCGAGGGGTCTAACCCCTGAGCTACGGGGACTGTGGCTTGTGAGGCGAGGGGTCTAACCCCTGAGCTACAGAGGCTGTGGGGTGCGAGGCGAGGGGTCTAACCCCTGAGCTACAGGGGATGTGGGGTGCGAGGCGAGGGTCTAACCCCTGAGCTACAGGGGCTGTGGGGTGCGAGGCGAGGGTCTAACCCCTGAGCTACAGGGGCTGTGGGGTGCGAGGCGAGGGGTCTAACCCTGAGCTACAGGGGATGTGGGGTGCGAGGCGAGGGGTCTAACCCCTGAGCTACAGGGGCTGTGGGGTGCGAGGCGAGGGTCTAACCCCTGAGCTACAGGGGCTGTGGGGTGCGAGGCGAGGGGTCTAACCCCTGAGCTACAGGGGCTGTGGGGTGCGAGGCGAGGGGTCTAACCCCTGAGCTACAGGGGACTCTCCAGGTTGGTCTCTGTCACTGACAAACTTTGCGGCCGAGGAGAAGGGCCCATATGCTGCAAAATCAACCAATTACCCAAGTCAATGGGTTTGCGTCAGTTGAGCAAATAAATTAAGAGCTCAGTAAAGCCGCTACAGCTCCAAGCAACGATCAAGGAGTCAACTCAAGACGGAGGTAGATAAATATTTGTTAGGTCAGGGTATTAAGGGATATGGGGCAAGGGCGGGAAACCTGGACATGAGGAGGCCATTCAACCCCTCGAGCGTGTTCCGCCATTCTCTGTACCCTCGACTCCAATTGCCCTCCTTTGCCCCGAATCCCCTCGATCCCCTGAGCTGACAAACATCTCCCCGCCTCAGGCTGGACAATGTGAACAAGATCCACATCTGAACGCTGTAGACTCTCTGTCAACCGCAAGGATTATTAATTGAAAGGGAAGGGAGTTCCTCTCTCTCTTTCTCTCTCCCTCTCTCTCTTTCTCTCTCCCTCTCTCTCTTTCTCTCTCCCTCTCTCTCCTTCTCTCTCTCCTCTCCCCCACCACCCCCCCCACTCGGGGTTCCAGGCTGACAATCCCTCCAGCTCAACGATCCACTCCAGCTTGGCAGCCATGATGTGCGAAAGCCCTTGAAATCTTTTGAGGGGATGCAGCGCTGGGAGAACCTCAGCTCCTCCCCACCCCACCCCCGTCCCACGCTTTTTGGGGGAGCTAATGGACGTTAACGGGCCGGTAACTTTGCGGAGAGCTTGTCAACGTGACACCGTAACTCGCCGATGCGCTATCTACCGGGGAAGTCATGTTAACGATCCAAGTTTACGTTCGCCTACAAAACACAGTCACTACACTTTGCGGTGTAGCCTGCGACGTGCACTGAGATGCTCGCCTGACGCGATTATTACCCCTTTTCTAGGCGGGGTCTGACCCCGAGCCAGGGTGGAGAGGGAGGGAGAGAGGGAGGGAGGTGTGGGGTTGGGGGAGAAGGAGGCAGATGGGGGCTGGCGAGGGGAGGGAGGGAGGTGGGGGGCTGGTG